AGTACACACTGGTTTACAAACACACACATTTATCCCATTCTTCCACCCACGTAAGCTACAGAATCTTGTAACTATTATTAATACTATTATTATTATAATTATTAGCGTATTTTCTTCCAATATTCACCACAGTATCGTTGTGTGATAGTAGGAGACGAACTTCGTTTCTCTCTTGTGTAAGTAAGGCAGCCTCTTTTTTTGATTGTTAATACCGTTGTGTCTCTCTGTGTAATTCACTTTCACACTAATTATACCTGTAAGGGATATATATATATATATTGGATTGAGGTATAAACACTTTCGATTGCTAGTTGGTGCAAAGTTTTTTCCCCAAATTCTTCCTGTTGCATCACACGTATATATATTTATATAAAGAGATTTTAATTTTCTTTGAGCCAAAGTCTATAAAATTCTAATTCTGATCTAATCTCATATTATAAAGATATAATATATATATTTATACATATATATAAATATATATCTACGCATATTATTACGACATATATCTAAATATTGATATATATATACATATACATATTTATTACCAATTAGAGTGTCACAATGAATCACGATTCCGAATCTCATGTGAAAATTTCGCGAACTATTTATCGTGGGGTATCCCCAAGCACAGCTAGACTTGAGGTAAATTTAAACTTTCATTATTATTATTATATATTATTATTATCCTCATATTTGAGTTATTCACCTTATTAGATTTCATTTGATTTTATTGTAAGCATTAAATGAGTTGTGTTCATAATACTATTGTTAATATTATTGCTTGTAGAAATATTTATGTATATACCTCCTTCTTTTTTTCTCCTATTTTAGAGTCGAGTCCGTGAATTAGAAGATCTTTTAGATTTGGAACGGGATGCTCGTGTCCGAGTAAGTCCCTTGTCCTTCTCCAGTATTATTATTATTATTATCACTATTATTAATATTATTATTACTATACTTACTAGTTATGCGATAGAATTGATATTTTTAGTACTGTTTGATTCTCTGACCTAGATATGATTATTTGTTTAATTACAAACGATATTAGCGTTTTTTTAAATAATATCGATTTGTAAAGTATGATCAGTGCTATTACAGTTCATTAAAGATGCTTAAATTATAATAATAATAATAATAATAAAGATATAATAGCGAATAGAATATCAACTAAAATTATCCCAAAAAGTTTATTGATACGAAATCTGAATCTGAAACCAAAACAGCCCAAGTTACCAATAGTTCCAAAAAAGGCCTTGTTCTTACAGATGCAGTTCCTAGGAGACAACACCAGTGAGATACTAACACAGCGCCTCAGAAATGAGGCGGTAAAAAGAGCACTCCCTGCTGCTCAGTTACGCTGTATCTTTAAAATCACTCCTCTTCTGCGTTCGGGAATAAAAGACAAACTGCCTAATTTCGCCTCTTCCATGTGTATATACTAATTTAACTGCTCCTGTGGAGCCAGTTAGTTGCATAGGCCGTACAATTAGGCGTGTTTCGCGTCGAATTTCCGAACATCACCCTGCGTGGTTAAGTAAAGGACAAACAAAATCTATTCACATAGCGCTATTCTATCTCATCTTGTGGAGACAGAACACAAGATTGACGTTAATCATGCTTTCAGGGTCATTTACCGCATACCTACGAATCTCAATTTCGCTTTAAGAGTTCGACTTCTAAATATTGCTGAGGCTGTGGGGATCCATATTAATAAGCCTAATTTATGCATCCAAAAGAAGTTAGTTCAGTCATTATCATTACCTTGGTCATCCGGGTTTGAATAATCCAGAATTTTTGTGAAATTTCCCTAATTTCAGTTGATATTCTATTCGCTATTATATCTTTATTATTATTATTATAATTTAAGCATCTTTAATGAACTGTAATTGCATTGATCATACTTTACAAATCGATATTATTTAAAAAACACTAATATTGTTATTAACTACTAATTTAAAATATTCTGTGTATATAAACATATATATAATTGTAGAGCCTGGAAGAGGAATTTATCGAAAAGAATATTCTTTGCTCGATTATTTTGTGTTTTATAGATGTCTTAAAGAATATTTCTGCTATAATTACAAACGTTTCATTATCTTTCTGGACAGCATAGTTTCAGTGAAAGAAGACCCGAAATAATGAAACTATATGTATACGTCATATTGAAGTTAACACAGAAAAAGTTATGTTGTCCAGACTAGGTACTTAGAAGCGTTATGCGATTAAATCATCTAGTTCACAGAAGATATTCATCTAAGCTGTAGAGAACCTTATCCATTATTTCGGAGTTTATATGCTGTTGTTTTTTTTTTAAACTGAAATTATAAAAATTTACCACTTCCTTAAGATTGTACATTGTTCAGACGCTGATGAGTGTTGATGATGACCTCGAAACTTAGTATATATAAATCAATAGGCTTTCTGCTTACTGACATTCAATATTCTTGTACACTGCTTCAAATTAAGTTGATTTATCAAAAATTAAAAGTTGAAAAATTGATAAGTTAATTTTTATTTCAATTGTAGATATTTTTGACTCATTCTAAATTAACTAGTTAATTAAATTTAAACAAAATTTTATGGAGTCATAGATGTAGCGTTCACTGTTTAAATTAACCGCCGGGTAAATTTTAACGTTCAATATTCAATGTTCAATAGTCGCTTATTTTAAAATCGATATAATTTCACGGATAAATAATTAAGGTATTCATTCACTGAAGTTTCAACTGGACCACACACACAGAGCTCTTTATTTGCTCTTCAAAATTATTTGAAATTCATTCGCCTTTACAAGTTTACGACATGTTGTATAGATAGGATTCAGTGAAGACGTGAAGCTTATAGCTTCATTTTAGCTTTTAAGACTCTGTTCGTAGGAATGAATACTGTCAACAAATCTGTGATGTCGCTAGTAGATGAGACTTTATGTCAATCACAGCGTTCAATTAATTACCAGAGAGGTTGATGAATCCATCCAGTCGAAAGACGAAACATTCATTGCGAAATGTAACAGTTTGGATATAGAAAAAATCCCCATTTTAGAAAAACAGAAAGATTGAGCAGCGAAGAAATATTTACTTTTCAATTAGATCCTCATCTCACTCTGGCTCTACTCTAATATATAATGTATAGCATTTTTATTACAATACACAACAGTTTACCAATCAAGTGGCACTGATATGTTTGTTAACAATAATTAATCAGTGTCAAAATGTCAATGGGTTGATAATTAACGAAGAAAATCAATACACACAATTAAAAGGTAGAAATGGTTAGAATAAATTAATTTTACAAGGATAACACGTAATTAAAGATGAAGTGGTCAGAAAAATAAAATAATTTGGACAATTATAATTTTTATAATTTTAAATGTTTAGGGGGAGGGGGCGAAGTAGTCCGCTTTATACCTTCATGTAACGATGGCCAAGGTAAGGAAAGTGGCTGTACAAATTTCTTCTGAACAGGCACAGGTTTGGCTTCTTCAGGTGGATTCCTATTGCTTCAGCTGTATGTAGAAGACGAACTCGTAGAGCAAAATTAAGATTAGTAGGAATGCGATAAATAATTTTAAATGCAGTATTAACATCAACCTTATGCTCACTATCTACAAGGTGTACTACAATAGAGCTACGAATAGATCTTGTTTGTCCCTTGCTTAACCATGCTGCAAGGATGATGTTCGGAAATACGATGATGAACCTGCCTAATTGTACGCCCAATGTAGCTGGCTCCGCAGCTGCAGTCAAACTGGTAGATACACATAGAGTAGGAGGAGGCAAATTTAGGTAGTTTATCCTTATTTCTCGAACGTAGAATAGGGGTGGTTGTGAAGAGACAATGTACCTTTGGATAGTACCAAATAATTGTAATCTCATTTATTTTAAAAGTATTCGGCCCTTTTTTCTCTATTGAAATGATTATTCCACGAAGTAAATAAACCATCTACTTTACCTTGTACAGTGTATACTACTGTGTAATTCTGTCAGTAATATAGTTTCAGATACTATTTAGATTTTAAATATATATTATGGATTATACTTACACTCCTTACTAAAAGTAATAAATCAGGTACACTAGCTCTTTGTGTTATATTCTTTCCTCATTTGAAAAACGTTTCGAAGTCACACTAGAAGTTATCTTCAAAGCTGGCTCGAAAAAGAAATTACATTTCACCTTCAGATGTATATTGAATTGCAATAGTAACAATTGACGTAATAAAGGAAGAGAATACAAATTGAATAGACAAAATGAAAAATGAAAAATTGGTAAAGCCAAAATATGATTGGGGATTACCATACTTTAGCATAGAGGGATTAAAACCATGAAAGTTGGAGGGGACTTAGCTTCCGATATCATGAAAAGAACATTCCCTGCTGCATCTCTGAGAATAGCCTTTACTAGTCGACCATTACTGTTCAATAACCTGAAGGACAAAATCCCGCTGTTGACCAACTCTATGTGCGTGTGTTTATCAATTCACCTGCTCGTGTGGAGCTAGGTATATCGGTCGTTCGACTCGAGTTTTGTCCAAGAGGGTGCAAGAACACTATCCTGCATGGTGGTTACGAAGAGGTGGAAGTGGAGCAATAAGAAGCGCGATCATTGAACATCTGGTCGATAATGATCACCCTACATATCTACAACCTCCGCCTTTAAAGTCATCTACAAGGCGAAGAGTAATTTACCCAAATCACTACGTACCCAACTCATCTGTACTGCTGAAGCCATCTTTGGCTATCGAAACAGAAAAGCCAGATCTCTGTGTACAGAAAAAGTTCGTTCATCCCTGTCTCCAACTTTCATGGTCTTAATCCCCCTATGCTAAAGTATGGTAATCCCCAATCATATTTTGGCTCTACCAATTTTTCATTTTGTCTATTCAGTTTGTATATTGAATTCTTTATATCGATAGTCCTGAATTAGAAAAAATATTGTGGAAGCAGATCAGATGATGAAGGTAGTCAGAATAGGAGCAAACACAGTGTTGAAGAGGGACTGAGCTAGGTAAAAACTGAATCTATCGAGGTTCAGCGCCTCAATAGGATGACAAAATATGTTATGAAAACCTCTGAAAAAAAGTCGTATGCATTCAATTAGATTAATCGAAATTACGCCACATAATTCAAATGTAATTAAGCCTTCATATTATCGATTTTTCATAGTTTATAAGAGGAAACACATATATTTGTTTATGTATTATTGAACAATTCTCAGCTAGGCTTCTTATTGTTTAATCATACCTGCAAAGTTCTCTGTATCAGCTGTCTCAAAATAAGGAATACAATCAATAGAGGGAAGATAAAGACGGTGAATAGTTAAGTATGAGGGGATGATGTTAAATTATGTGTCACTCTTATCCTCCCCTCATGAAAGGATAGCTTAACTAGTTTTAGTTAGGTACAGTGTGATTCTATATATTAATGTTTATTTATTAAGATTGAAGCTCAGAATCTTCTGATGCTTTTAGTCGCATCGATAAGTTCCATCATATCTGAGAAGTAGTCACCTCTATTCGTCATGATTGTGAGTGTGTGTGTGGGGAAGGCAGGCTCAGTGATGAGGCAGTTTAGTTCAGTGACGCATCCACAGACGCGGTTTAGTCTGATTCTACGGGGTGGTAATAAGTTGTACTGACGTCTGGCAGTATTAATATAAGAAGCCAAAAGCTTAATAATGTTACTGCAGTACTAATAAGAAAGTAATGCTTCGAATAGGTTGATCAGTCATTGTACTGCAGAACAGTAAATAGTCCCTCAAAATTGTTGTCAAAATTAGAAAACCTAGTGAAATGAGAAAGGAGAAACACCACTCTTTACTTGAGGTGATAACTCCCTAACAACCGGTTGTCTTTCTGTTTATCAAGCATACAATATGAAAATTATTCACTCTTCACAGGATGAAATATTCGCAGTTACCAGGAGGTCTATTCATTCTTGATTCTAAATGTTTAAGTAGTGTATTCATTTGAGCCTTTTAAAAAAATATTCCTTTATGTTTCCAGTGTGGAACATAGGCCTGGAAGCTAGAGACTTGAAGTTTCGGTAGCAGTGGTGCTTGTTTATTTTTGCGGGATGAGGTTGCTGCTGGCCTCATGCCTAACCTTCCCTCTTTACCAGTCTTATTACCGACCTAACGAGGTAACGGAGTGCGTTAGTGGCCAGGGATAGACGCACCATTTGAGCATTACCTTCAGTTAATTCTGAAGATATACATCATGTTTCATATACACTGAATGATCGATATTTATTTGCAAAAAGACCATTGGATGCTTGTATTTCTATTGATTAGTTAGGGTTTAAACTTTGTGAACAGTCTGGTTTTGATATTTTCAAAGGTATTCAACAGGTGAAATGTACTGTTTTTGAATTCCAATGAGTCTTTAAATCTTTCATCAGGGTGATCAGAACATTCACAGACATATAAGGTTAAGACTATTTTTTCAAAGAGTACCTATCTAGCAAAGTGAGCATCAATTCATACAAGTTCACCTATTTTGACAGGTAGACGTTAATAAGTCATCCTAGTATACCTATTCAATGTTAAATTCACTCCTTTGACAGAATATTACTACTATATTACTATATATTAACAATGAATAGCCGAGGGTGGGGGGGAATTTCTTTCATGCTATTCGACAGCCGTGGAACCTACTGGATGCTAGATGAGGCAAGTAAATCAAGACATCGGATTGACTGAATCTATAATCAAGTTTATTTCCTGAGTAATTATGATGATACTGGATGCAATCAACCTAACGAAATCGTTAGAGAAAATGTAAGAACATTTGAGAAATTTTAGTTTGTGACAATTTTCTGTCGACTAACTCTTCAGCCTGTCTAAAGGTGTACGTGGCAAAGATAAGTTGTTTTTCTGCAAAGAGACAACTGTCAACGAGATGGTTTGACTGAAGGTGAACTGCTCTGAATGTCCATCTTTAACTATTTCATAGTTGGGCTGATTTCTTTGCCGATCTAAACATCAACTGTAATTAGTTAGTTAGTTGGTCTGGTGGCATAGCGGTAAAGCGCTCGCCAACCATGCACATGGTCCGCGGTTCGAATCCCGGCCGACGCACTCCTTCACTAAATGTAAGAGAAATGGCAGAGGCTAGCAACCCATCCTGAATAAACACTAACAGAAACTTCAAGCCTCTAGCTTGAAGCCGCCTATGTACTGGACTGAAGAAAAACATCTGGTGTGTAAAACTAACTTAATTCCTAGTGTCTGACTAGGATAAGGTGGGAGATGGAGTTTTCTGTCTTTCCTTAGACATTAGAAGTCCTATTCCCATCTAGTTTCTTTCATAGATTGACATTATCTAGAAGGCTTAGAACTCTTCCTCAGTATCTTATCGGTCATTTAAAAAATTTGGAAATTTTAACAGTCAGAAGGAAAATAATTGAAGGGATTTGGGTTTTCTTTTCTCAACTTTCCACACTGTTGATATTTTAAATCCAAAATACTTAAATTCTCCTAATTTCTCTTTTTTTTTGTGGTTTTCTCTAGGCTGAACGACACGCTGTTGACTTAAGCTTTCAAGTCGATGCACTTTCGGAGCGTTTAGATGAAGCTGGCGGATCTACAACTCAAACTGTAAGTTATCTGTAAAAACACACACACACACGCACACATTTTAATCAATCAATAAATAATATTGATTTTTATTTTTACTTGGTTGATGTTGGTGCCTATCAGTGGAATCCGTGATTCACATTTCGTCCTATTTGAAACTCATCATCCGGGTGCACCTAACTGCATTTTCAGTGAGTGCAAGTGTTCCCACTAGAACTCGAAACTACATCCGAAGTATTGACTGTTGAGGAGCGCCAGATTAAGACGAAACAATTGCTCAGTTTGCCTTGTTAAGTCATAGCATTGTTTTGTAGAAAGCAGATGAAACGCTGTACTGCTTGTCTTGTCATTATTTTCATTTTTTTTGTTGAAGATTTAATTCCTTCGCATTCCTAGTGGAGCATAGGGCTTCAAGCTAGTGCTGTGAAGTTTCAGGAGCAGTGGTATTATTCTCTCTTTACGAGGCAAGGCTACAACCTTCACACCTAACCTTCCCTCCTAATCGAGTTTACTACCGGCTGAATGAGGTTTCGAAGTAAGTCGGGGGTGGGGGGAATCGAACGCGGACCACGTAAGACGTGACTGGAGAGCATCTTACCACGGAACCATGCACGTAAACGCAAATAGTCAAATTTGAGTAACGTTTCACAGTTTACAAAACTTGTCGAAAAACAGTCAGTCAGTCAGTCAGTTCTGCTGTTCACATGGATTAGAATTTAAAATGTTGACGAAATTCCAATTGTTGCATTTTCGACATAGACCAAACATTACTTAGGGAAATCACTGGAAGCCAGGGAGCACTGGACAGCTGTTCTACCCTATCCTAAGACTCTCCGGCAGTGTTCACCCATGATGCTGCTGCCAGGGAGCCAACTTGGAACCTACAAGTTACGACAACAAGCTCGTTGGCCATTCAGTCACTTGCGAGGGTGGGGGGATCAGTTTTTTTATCTGTCTTGTCACCAATGTCTTCACCAATGCCTTCGACGAGCATTGACCTCACCCTGACACGTTGGACCCTACTGGTTACAACTTCCCACTGTAGCTGCTTCAAGGTATCTTCCATCCAGTCGCCATCAGGGGAGCTGGTGAAATTATTTGACGAAATTAGTAACACAGGTAGCTAGCTATACTACTTCGTATAGATTCAATTCATTCCTTAGGATTGATTAATAATATATATGCCTATACACTTATAATACCTATTCGATGGTAAACATCAATTACGTAACCATGGGAGCGAGAATCTGTGATAATATTACTACTACTACTAATGACAGCCTTGACGTTAGTAGTAGCAATAATAATATGAATACCAGTATTTTTTTAAAAACGTAAAATACTTTCGTCTTCTTACTTTCATTCATCAATGACCATATATGGAAATTTGTGTAGGTTTCATGTATGCGCACTTAAGTGTGGGCACCACACACACACACACACACGATCAATACAGGCAGTGTGAAAGACACTGACTGACACAAAAACATGCAGTCTTACGAAAACATTTCTACCGACCGAATAGATTAGTACTATATTTGTGTGTTATCAGGTTTAATACATCCACACCGACACACACACCCACATGATACTTATTGATTTTTTACGAAAAAGGTGCTATTTTCTATTATAAGGAGAAAGAGAGAGTGTGTGTGTGTGTGTGTGATATCAGGTTTTGCCCTTTCCATCAATAATACACACTATCTGTTGTGTTTGCTTACCATTTGTTTTCGTAAGCCTGTGAATGTGGATGTAACAACACCATTTTCCTCTGGCCTACATTCACCTCTTTCACTCTCTCTTGCATTCACACACACACACACTACATGCATATGTGTTATTCGGATCTCCTGTCGATTATTGTCTTAAAAGCAAATCAAGCTGCAAAAAGAAACAGGAATAAAAGCAACAAAAAAGGGAATTGAGAAAAAATAGAGAAAGAAAATACTTTCACATTTCTAACAAAAAAAAGCTGTTCAGTGTTCAATGTTTTCTCCTTTTCTTTAGCGCGAAAATTAAACGCGTAGCGCTACATTCAAATGACAATTGAAAGACACATATGTGAACACGCACACACACACACACACACAGAAAAAAGAATATTTGTTCATTTCATTCTTCCTATTTTGTTAATTCATCTTGTCGAATAACTAGGATATGAATTAGAGAGAGTTTTTTTGGGGAGAATATTCGTTAAGATAGTTTATGTTTCCAATGGATTGATTTTCACTGAGCCGAAATCTCCCATCTCTGTTGACATGTTAGTCCCCTAGTATGCATGCTCTGAGGATATCTGTGAAGGTTAAGATGACAGCTGATAGATTCGACTTTCAGTGGGAATAACATTACTCATTGGGAATGCTGTGACATCCAGTTGATGAGTTTCGAATAGGACGAAACATGTTTTGTGGAATTAATTGTCTGTGCCAGTTACCACCAATGAAATAGCATTCATTAGGTTGGTTTATGAGAGAAAAAGTCGTTATTGGCTGAAAGTATTCAGCATAGCAGGATTAGATTATTGGGTCTTCAGTTTTGTACAAAACTGCTCTCAATGACTGTGTGTTTTTGGGGGCTTTTCTAGTGAAATGAGATTTTCACTCATTGATTTGAAGATTGCCGATAAGAAATTGTTGTTGTTGCTGTTCCTTTATGTCCCTAGTGGAACATAGGGCTTCAGGGTAGAAGTTTGATGTTTCGCTAGGGGTGATTTTATTTTCATTGGGTGGAGTTAGTTACTGCATGCCCGACTTTTCATGTTTACTGTCCTTACAGCCGGCTTAGTGAGGTTTAGGAGTGCGTCTGTTGGTCGGGACTCGAATCTCAGACCATGATAGGCGTTTTTGTCTTTCATATTAATGTTATGAAGATATTCGAATCAATCGATAGTGCTTTTTTAAAGTAAACTTTCAAACAACTCTTTCTTATCGACCCTGTTTCAAACAGTTGCTTATTTTATGTACTGGTAATATTAAATTTACATTTGAGGATGAGCATTTCCACCAGTTAGATGGTATGACCAGAGGAGGTCCCATAATTGGAAAAGATTTTTTAAGGTAGGTGCATAAACCATATTGTAGTTATTTGTGACAAGTCAACAGATACCATAGAGATTCTTAATCGGACGAATATGATACAAAATTGTCTACTAAAGGTTAATTGGTGGATGGTGGCTAGCAGTGGTGGAATCCAGGGTAAAGGGAATTTCGTCCTATTTGGGACTCTTCAGCTACTGGATGTGACTGCATTTCCCAGTGAGTCAGTGATGATGCTCCCACCGAGGATCGAACTCAGTGCCCATAGTTTCGAACGCCAGAGCGTTATCCACTAGACCACTTGGGCCACTAGAGCCACCTCTTGTGCAACGGGTCATACTAATTATTTAACTGGGTTCGAGCCCTGGTGGGAACATCATCATTCATTGCGGAATGCAGGTACATCCAGTTAGCTGACGAGTCCCAAATAGGACGAAACGCGCGTTTTCCTGGATTACTTCACTGCTAGTCACCATCCACCACTTAACTTCTAAATACATGCCCAGACATCGTCGAAGCATCTGTACATGAAGCCGACAGACATGTCAACCTGTGACCGAGCATTTCGGTCCAATCAATCGACGGGAAAATCTAAAATTCAATTAAAAAATTGTATACTGTTATAGTGTATGAATATTCAAGATTTAGTCTGTAGGAATTCTATTGGTTTCAATTTAAAGCATGGATTGATATCAGTTAGAGAATCATTGAAAATCAGCCACAGGGAGTATTGGAGCCAGCTGTTTGTCAGCCTAGTTTGCGACTCTTCATCAGTAAGCACCCACCACAGGGGTTCGAACCCAGAACCTTCTGGTTACAAGGCGAGCTAGCGGAAGGGGTTGCTAGCCTCATGCCCAACCTTTCCTCTTTACCGGTCTTGTTAGTGGCTTAGAGAGGCAAGGGAGTGCGTCGGCGGCCAGGTATCGAACCCCGGACCACATGAGGCGTGGTTGTCGAGCATTCTACCACTGTGCCACCGACGCCACATATAGACTATATCTTCTTATTGTCTTGTTGAAACTCATAAAGTGGAATTAGTTGATTTAGACAGACATCTGACTGGGTTATGAAAAGAATTAATACACATTAAAGGTGGGTCCTGAGAATATTGATTGTAGAAGCATACGTTCCTTCTTCTAATCAAATTATCTACTAACACTTTAATCTTGAGTGAATAACCTTTTACTAATCCAACTTATCATTTTACTGTATAGTCAGTCATAAAACTGTCCTGCTATTTTTTTATATGTTATAAAACCCACCATTTATTTTTCAGTTGATCGTTGAGAATGCGGTAAGACTAGTTAGAGATTAGATGATGATTAGATTACTCGTGTGTAGCATTTCTACCCCACCCTACCCTTCCCCGCCTTTTCTTTATCCTTGTTTATAGTTAAAGTATTTCGTAGAGTTGGTAATATCGACTTATTCACATCTCAACTTCATTGACTTTGAAAAGGCCTTCGATAGTGCAGCGTCGATCGAGAGGTAATTTGCCAATTACTTCGCTACTACCAAGGGGTGCCGCCAACAATTATACATCTAATCCAATAGTTGTATGAAAATGCTGCATAACAAGTAATCCACAACGGGAAACTCACGGAATCCTTCGAAGAAGTGAAGACAGGAGTAAGACAAGGCTGGCTGGCTGGCTGCCTACTGTCTGCAATGATTTTCCTGATTGAGGGCGGTAGACTGGATAATGTGACAGACAGCATAAAATGGACCCACACAGAAAAAACTTGGAGGATCTGGATTTAGCCGATGATATCTGTCTGATTTCCCATAAAGTGGAAGATATGCAAGTGAAGAGCAACAAGTTGGCAGAAGAAGCATCCAGAGAAGATAGGACTTCAGGTGAACATAGAGAAGACAGAGGTACGTGATGAAGATTCCTGGCCAATAGCAACAGCAATAGCAGCAACAACAGAGAAAATCAGCATAAATGGGAGAAATCTGAAAGAAGCAACCTCCTTTACCTACCGACCTACCTGGAAAGCATCGTTTCAACTGATGAGGATATCATCAAAGGGAGGATCGGGAAAGCAATGCAAGCTTTCATTTCTCTCAAGTCTGTGTGGAGATCAACAGCACTCAGCATGAAAAATAAGATGCAGATTTTCAACTCCAATGTGAAGTCAGTGCTTCTTTCTATGCGGATCAGAGACTTGGCCACTTCGAACAAACTGCAGACTTTCATCAACAGCTGTCTTCGTTCAATATTTAAGATCAGATGGCCAGAAAAGATCAGCAACAGGGATCTCTGGGAGCGAACCAACCCAGCAGGAATCGATTGTGCAACAAATATTCAGGAAGAAATGGAGGTGGATTGGAGGCCATACTCTGAGAATGCAAACCACCATCAAGTGAGGGACATCACACGCCAGGCCATTGCTCGAGTGGAACTGGAATGGGAACCGGCGAGTTGGTCGTCAGTGAGAGGGTGGGGTGACATGGACTGGAGGAGATGATGTGAAGAGTAGAAGAGGAAAGCATGTGGGCAGACGTGGAGCCATGTGAAAAAGTTGGCGGCCGACCGAAGGCAATGGAAACGAAGCCCTATGTTCCTCTAGGAACTTAAGTAAACAACAGTAATAATAGTAATAATATAATTCACACCTTGAACTATGACATTCATGAAGTTACTTCCACCAATCAGTATTAAGTTTCATCCTTACTTTTGTACACATTTAAAGAATGTTGAACAACTAATAATAAGCATGCGTTTTCAATGTTCAATACTTGTTTAAAACAAAACGAAAATAATGATTAAAACAAAATAATAATCAAGTTATTATTCCATACAGAGAGAGATTTATTGCCATCATTTATATTGGCTAACAGGGATAACCGAAGAGACCTAAAAAGACCAATGAAGAACACAGAACGATAAATAAATGAAACAAACATATTGAAGCTTGAAAAATCATGTGGCGCCACCTAACTTACCTATAAGCGTCCTATGAACACCTCTGTTAGCTTACTTAACATATTTCAGTCAGAGTGGCATTGCATTTTCTTGTTATGTTAGATTTACTGTAGAATACAATAATATTAATAGTAATAATAATAATAATAGTACTGTATCTCATCGTGTCTTTGTTTGTCTTTTTTTTGTTTTTCTTCCATTTTTTTGCCTACTGCCCTTTCATCTTTTCTAGCAAGAGTTGTTAAAACGTCGTGAAATGGAAATCAATAAATTACGCAAAGATTTAGAGAATGCTAATGCTTCACTAGAATTAGCTGAAACCTCAATGAGACGTAGACATCAGACTGCATTGAATGAATTAGCCTCAGAGGTGGAAAATTTACAAAAACAAAAAGGAAAGTAAGTAGCATCTTTTATTTGTTGGGTATTTTATATGTTTTTGTTTCACTTATATATATATATATATTCAGGCAGTTCTAGTGGGGTTCTAGTGGGAAGCCGTGACCAGCAGGGTACAGTAGGTTGAAGATGAGGCAGTAACTCATCGAAAAAGACACTGCGAAATGGTAGCGCTTTGTCGTGGATTTGCAGAAGTTAGAATTCAAGGACCATTGGATTGCGTCACAGTGGCTCAATGGTCTACAAGGCAGCTCTCCTTGTAACCAGAAGGTCCTGCATTCGAACCCCTATGGTGGGTGCGTACTGATGAAGATGAGTCCCAAACTAGGCTGACGAAACAGTTGTCCAGTACTCCCTAGCAAGTTTTCCAGTGGTTCTCCAACTGATGTCAGCTGATGATGAAATCCTCCATCCAATGCCTACAAATCCAATACTTGAAAAAAATATATATATATACATATATATGTGCGTCGCTGGTACAGCGGTTAGGACGCTCGTCGACCATGTACATGGTCCGCGGTTCAATCCCCGACCTACGCACTTCTTTACCTCGCTAAGCCAGAAATAAAGCTGGTAAAGAGGAAAGGTTGGGCACATGAGGCTAGCAACCAAATCCTGTAAAAATAATCACCACTGTTACAGAAACTTCAAGCCTCTAGCTTGAAGCCGTTTGTTCCACTGGGAACGTGAAGGAATTATATGTATATATATATATATGAACCAAATAATGTGTCAAGAAGCTGGAAAGTTTCTATGTTGACTGATAAGAGTCGACGGGAGATGTGATTTATTGACTTTAACACTCGACTACAAGCCAATAAGTCACAGGTTCGAATCTCGTTTCATCTACTTTACCTTAAACCATTTGGTAGTATCATCAGTCCTAGATACTGGGTGAATGAATTCTGACGGACTAACTGAGAAGGTCCAAAGTCAAAATCCACCTCAGTAATATCATTTTCCAATTTTTGAAATGAGTTCTGTCAACTTCTAATAAAGAGTCATTTAACTTGAAAGTATGATTAAGCATGGTATTCCGATTAGTGTCCACGTATCTACAATGGATAATTAATGGTCAGGGTGAAAATTTTAACCTGTTGATATTCATAAAACAGGATTCTATTGAATTCAAGTGTATTATAAAGGGTTTTTGACCTCTTCAATGAGTATTAGTCAGAAGTTTTACGACAGTAAACAGATAGTAAACGCCACTATTTATTAGTCACCATCTATCTACTAACATTAAAATGTGGTTAACGGGCATCGTTTTCTTGGTTGTCTTATACCAATGGAGATAAATAACTTCGGTGTCTTTCTTATTCATCATACGGCATACTTCTTCCTGCTCAAAAACGTGTAGTTCTGCATATGAACCGAATAATGAGTTAAGAAGTTGAGAAGCTTCTATGTTGACGAGATCCACATTAAGAAACCTAATTTATGTATCCAAAAGAAGTTGATTCAGACACTATCTTTACACCGCTGGCCATCTAGGTTCTAATGATCCTCAGTTTGTTGAGGGAATTTCCTTAATTCTATTTGATATTCTATTTACTATTACATTTTTATGCTTATTATAATTTATGCATCTTTCTTGAGCTGTGGCAACTCTATTGTGATCTTAATTAACAAATCGATAGTATTTAGACAAAAAACACCAATATTGCTAATGACGACTATTATAGATAAGATTTTATTTTGATAAATCGCACAGTTGAGTGTTATTCAGTAATATTAACTGATGTCCACGTTTAGAGGTCATAATCAAATCAAGTCACTCACTCACTCACACAACTTTCTTCCTTCATTTATATACATGAGTGAAAATTGATGATTAGACATTTGAATGAAAATCAACATAAGATAATGTACATTCAAAAATAATAATATTAGTGTTATTTACCAAATACCGTGTAAGGATGGGACATCTGAAACCCTCCCTAAGTAGGATTCTTAATAAAGCAGGAATTAGGGTGGCATTCAAACCTACAATCTCACTCAGGTAGGGACAAGCTCTGTAGGCTAAAAGACCCAGTGGACCCAATTAAACAAAATAATATAATTTACAAAATACCTTGCAATGACTATGAGTGTGGTCAACTAGTGTGGTCAGACTAGTAGATCAGACTGCCTGTCAGAACATAGGAATTTAGCTAAGGTAAGGATGGTTGACCCCGAGAAGATAAATAATGTAGAAAAAAGCTCAGAAATTGCACTTCACTCATTAACACACACACAATGACAAAATAGGGTGGGACAGAGTCGAAATTCCAAAAAGTAATATAGGTAGGTGGAGAGAGAGATTGATTACTGAATCCTGGTTCATTGAGTCTTCGCCCAACACATGCAACAGAAATGACTCAACGCAAATACCACAGATATGGAAGATATTATTACCACCAGTCAGTCAAATTAGAGGAGGATAATAAATGATCTTGAAATTCTATTTCAGTTCACATACATTATAACGTTCTAACAAGTTACTTATTTTGACTATAAAAACACTCGTCTTATTTCCCATCTGAATGTATTTGATTGATAACACTCATATTATTATTTCTGAATGTACATTATCTTATCTCATTGATTTTTATTCAAATGTCTAATCATCAATTTCACTCATGTATATAAATGAAGGAAGAAAGTTGTGTGAGTGAGTGTCTTGATATGATTATGAGCAGTAATAATTTGTGCTCGAAACGTGTGGTCATCAGTTAATATTACTGTACAACACTGTGTGAATTGTAGAGCAGGAAGAGGAAATTACCGAAAAGGATATTTTTTGCTCAGTGTTTTTGTTTTTTCAAGATGTCTGAATGAATATTTTCGCTAAATTAAAAAACAATAACAACAAGACAAGATCAGAAACCAGTAAATTTTAATTTGACATACATTTTTCTTCACGGCTTTTAATCACCTCACTTTACTGATAACTTCACTGATGAGTTTAGAAGTTTGACTACTTAGATCAAAGTAGTCATAGATCGGGATCAATTAGGTTAACAATCAGAACTTAATCTAAATTTAGAATGAATGACTTCACTAAGTAATTTAGAAGAAAACTCGACCATTCAGATAGGATGAAAGTATTGAAAAGTTATACAATTCGGTGTAGACGGGGTAAGCAGGCTCTCTCTCTCGAGAGATTACCAACTGAATGCCTGTTCATCCAGTCGACAACAAACACATGAGATAAAAACAACGCAACATCACTTCTAGATACATGAAAAAGGTAAGTTAGTAAGTTGTATAGATACATTGTAATATGATGATTATAAAAAATCAATAACAAAGTTTAACCTTGAGGAACTCACCAACCAATCACAGCAGACTTAACGTGTGAAAATACGATTCGCAGATATATGGCTTAACTTTCTAGCAAAACGGCCACAAGCTGTACAGAATAACCTTGAGCAAGAAAACAACCAATCAGAAGACATTGCTTCTCCACTGACAATAATGTACATAAAAATCTATAAATACCTCTTGATTTTCTCAATAAACGATCTGTTGCCTGGCTTTAGTCTTCTGTCGTTACAGTATAACTTAAGAATTTTCGAATCTACCGAGAAAGTGACTGCTGTGAAATACAAGGAAAATTGGTTAAACAACTGGTAGGTTGAATCTGATCGAATGCAGTCCCAACTACTGGTTAAGGGATGCAAACAACAGTTGTTATTCCTTGAATCAATGCGGTACTTGTGTAATACAAGAATGTCAGTTCGAAATAGATTTAGAAATATAGAAGAGTAAAGTACACATTAACACATGATTGGAAAGAAAGAAGAAGGAAGGAAGGAAGGGAAGAAGGAAGGTCATTATAAAAAGTGACCAAATTCCATAAATCACTTACATTCTTTTTCTTCTTATCATTATTATTATTATCACCATCAATCAATGATTGGAAACATATTACCTATAGCCCTACTTATTTTCTTCTGCTTTTGCTTTCATTCGATATTTGTGAACTTAGTGTCACCGTGTCCTATTTTGGTAAACTTTCATGGATGTATGTTAGTGTGTATGTGTGTACGTTTGTGTTCAGGTATGTAGGTAGGTATGGTAGGTAGTTAGGTTAGTGGTCCACATTAACTAGTTCATATACATGTGACTCTATTGCTTGATAAATGATAAAAAGAACCATCGGTAGTTAGTTATAATATTTGCACTACTAAAAGTACTTAAAAAACTGCTTCATTTGTTTTCTGTCATATAAATGGGTTAAAAGAAGATAGAAAAATACATGGGAGGTAGTAGATTGTGGTTTTGGAAGAGAAGAATAAGAAGAAGATAGATGCAAAAGTCCTGCATTTATCGAATGATCTATCATCACTTACTTGCTTAAAAACAAATATTGTACATTGGTTAGAATAGATGGCTAACGAAACAACTCGCGGCCCGTCGATTGACTGGGCCGACGAGTCCCAAATAGGACGAAATGCGCGTTATCCTGGATTAATTCACTGCTAGTCACCATCCATCAATTCACTTCTAATTACATGCCCAGACATCGTCGAGGCATCTGCACAAGAAGCCGACATGTCAACCTGAGACCGAGCACTTCGGTCCAATCAATCGACGGGGAAAATCTAAAATTGAATATAAATAATTAATATGACCCGTTGCACAAGAGCAAGAGGTGGCTCTCGTGGCCCAAGTGGTCTAGTGGATAACGCTTTGGCGTTTGAAACTATGGGCACTGGGTTCGAGCCTCGGTGGGAACATCATCACTCAGTGACTGGGGAATGCAGGTACATCCAGTTAGCTGACGAGTCCCAAATAGGACGAAATGCGCGTTATCCTGGATTCCACCAGTGCTAGTCACTATCCACCAGTTATATTATTATTTGGTGTATATCAGCACAAATCGATTTTTATCTATCCCAGTAATGAATACATGTTTAAGGTCATTTCATTCTGGATAAGTTAACTAGCCTTAGAAAGAAAAGGAAACATTGTGTTACTTGGGTGATAGTGGTTAGTTGAGGAATCTAGAAGTGGTTGAGTAATTCTCTTTTGTATGCACAGCTCCGGTTTTTCTATGTGTGAATGGTCAGAGCTTCAGCGATACAAAGACGACGAAACCGTGTTAACCAGATGTTCAATTATTGCACTCCTCGTCATTCCATCTCAACAAACGCCTCCTGCTTCAAAGTAATCTACAGAGGGAAGAATAACCTACCAAATGCAATACGGTTTCGTCTTCTTTGTATTGCTGATGGTCTGGCCATTCACACATAGAAAAACCGGAGCTGTGCATACAAAAGTGAATTATTCAAGCACTTCTATTGTCATGGTAACAACTTTGTTGATTTTTGAATCTAGTATGCATGTTTCCTCCGTGAGTGATGTTTTTCCCATCAGTTGTTTTTTTAATGAAATGGTAGTGTTTTTCATTTCCCTATTGATTGACTATTTTTTGAACTGGGTTCGAGTCCCAGTCGGGATTCATTGGGGATGCTCTCCTAAATACCATCAACTAAGCAACGAAATCTTAGCCTTAAGGTATCTTCAAAGTGTCCTTACTCCAAACCAAGATTTCAGCTGAGATCGGTCAATTTGATCCAATTAGCATCAGCCAACTCATCAAAGACCGATGCATAACAAATATAAACAGCAAAAAGCGATCTGAGTAGAATTGCCTTCTCAGTCTCCATTATCATTTCGCTACCGTCTACGATCTACCTCACCTACCTATGTAAGCAAGGCGTAATAAGTATCTGACAGTTAAAAGAAGCCGTCGATTCTCATGACAGTTGTAAGATTGATGACAATGATATAGGAATTAAATCAGAAATTAAGTATCTTGGACTTATTCTCTCTTCTGATCTCTCCTGGTCTTCCCATGTCTCAGCGATCTCCAGTAAAATATTCCGCCTGACATTTTACATTAAGAAGTTAAGGCACTCGGGTTTAACTCAACCCCTCCTCTTACAGTTCATAAACTCTTGCATCTTACCTATTCTTCTTTATTGTTCACCCTTATTCTTTCCTGGTTTGCTTAAAAAGGACTATGTTACAATTCGTAGAATGCTGAAGACTGTCAGTAGGATGAGTGGTGTCCCAGTGGACTACATAGTTAACGTCGTTGTCGATAGGCACTTGACTTCGTGCAGTAAATTTGCTGAAGGGATTTTGTCTGACATGGAGCATCCATTTCACTCTCAGCTTTCACCTTGCATCTCCTCAGGTAGAACAAGAAATAACTTCAGAAAACTGTATGCTCGCACGTCTAAGTATAAAAATTCTATGATACCATACTTGGCACGTATTTTATGTGATGAAAATAGCGTCAGGCAAGAATTGACTAACCTTTTTTCATCTAGTAAATAAACAATTTCCTCCATCCATCCTTATATACCTTCAAGTTTTATTTTTATTATTTCTATTATATTTAGTCTGTTGATTCTTTGTTTTCACTTTCATAACTGCAAACACCAACTTATCTCTATGACTGCTGTAATCTTTGTTTTTACCCTCACCATATCATGTAAAGAGAACATTATATTCAATATTTTTAATCATGCAAGGATTTGTATACCGCATCGACAATACTGTGTGAAACAAGCCCACGGCAATTTTCACTTGTATTATTATCATTACATTAGCTGCTATCATTATTATTATTTCCATTTTATATGCTGCATGTTTTTTTTTCACATTACCCCTATTGTAAATGTTGAAAAATTTTCTGTGTGATTAATTTTATTTATAATTTGAGGAAATTAGATGCAAGATATTGTGATTAATGCTGAAAATTCCATTCTGTATCACAAGTACTGTTTTTGGAATAAAGTAAATCATTATTATTATTATTTTGGTGGCTTGGCTCTTGACATAACATAATTTATTATAGCATAAATGTTGAATTCACTTAATTTTTTTGTTCATTTAGTTATGTCATCACGCTATACGCCTTTATACGCCTGATACATACATACATGACTAAATGAGCTTCACTCACATTTTTATCACCATTCAACAGCCTACTTTCTTCTTCTTCCGTTTCTTTTTTCTTTTTGTGATTTTTGTGTACAGAGCAGAGAAAGACAAGAGTCATTTGATTATGGAGGTGGACAATGTTCTTGGACAATTGGATGGTGCAATGAAGGCTAAGGTTAGTCAATTGAAAAAAAGTATCATTTAATGACAAATCAATTGTAAATGAAGAACTTTCCAATAATAATAACAATAACAATAAGGGGCTATACAATAGATTACTGGATTAGATAGTTAGAGGCAATCGGCAGGAAGCCTTGGGCCTAGGTTTCGTGCTAGTTGGCACTCATCAGCAAGGCGCATCTGCAACCTTGAAGAAACTCATGTCCCTTCTGGGATTCGAACCCGCGTCACCCAGTGCTGCAGTCAGAGACGTTATTATTGAGCTATTTGGGCTCGTGATTGACCTCCTGTAGGACTGTAGTGGGTATTTGGATTGGACACTAGTAACTAGTGTGACGTGTCTAGTCCTTTCTTTGGATTTGCAATGTGGCCACCATTCTAGGTAGCTTGCCATCACGGTGCACATTAATTTGGTGATATTAGATATCGACAGGAAGGCTGGATTACTGGATTTCACACACTTAATGGCCTTAAAGACACATTCTACAAACTGATAAGACGTTCATTTTCGTCCTACAGAGATAGTTCGTAATTGTGTGTCCAATTAGGATATTGGTAGGGTCTTTTGACAACAACAACAACAACCACTGATGCTGGTCTTAACATCTGGGTTGGGTTAACATGAGTTTTACCAATGTCTGATATACAATACTATACTGCTGACGACTTTTAACAAACGCAATACTATACGTCATGCAGGCTGTCCCAAGATCTTTTTCCTTATTCCTTTACGTTCCCAGTGGAACATAGGGCTTCAAGCTAGAGGCTTGAAGTTTCGGTAGCAGTGGTGTTTTTTATTTCTACGGGATGGGGTTGCTAGCCTCATACCCAACCTTCCCTCTTTACCAGTCTTATTACTGGCTTAACGAGGTAAAGGAGTGCGTCGGTGGCCGGGAATCGAACCCCGAACCACATGAGGCGTGGTCGGCAAGCATTCTACTACTGTGCCACCGAAGCAAAATGTGTACATTTCGTTGTGAAGTTGGTGCGTCGAGTGATTCGAGTGAATTTTGCACGTGATGGGAGTTGTGAGTTTGGCGATGTGTAGCATCAAAATCCCTAGCGCCCCCGAGTGGGCTCCAACCACCATCCTTTCGGTTAACAGCCGAACGCGCTAACCCGCTGTGCTAAGGAGACACTGTTCCAAGATCAACTTTACATAATTTCAACACAAGTATTCTGAGACCAGTAACTCTCTAGATTAGTTTCAGTTAAGTTGGAGCAATCTACTACTTTTCTCATTCCTTTGCGCTTCGTGTGGAACATAGGGCTTCAGACTTACAGCCTTGAAGTTTCAGTGGTGGCTGTGGTGGTGTTGTTGTTTTATGTGGGATGAGGTTGCTGGATTCAAGCCTAACCCTCTATACTTCTAGATCTTCTGTCAGACTAGTAAACTGCGTTAAGTTTAGGAGTGTATCAGTCGTGAACAGAACTCTGAACCACATGCGTTCTACGTTACTGAGTGATGTACAGCTCTGTATACCAAATGAACATGAGTTAGAATTCATAGGACATTAGATCCTAACACACTGGAAGGATAGCGAGCATGCGCATACCTAATAATCTGAAGGTTTTAGGTTCCACTCCCGGGGGGGGGGGGTAAGCACAACTGTTTAAGCGCCCAAGAAAAAAGCGTCATTTTATGTCGACCGTTTGATGTGACTTAACGACAACTAGTCGACAATTCAGTTAGCATCAGTGAAAGTTTAATTTCCATTGGCTGTTCAGCATTTATGGTTTACAGATTCACAAAGTGATTCCGAAACATTTCAGAGAACATCAAATCACTCCTAGTAGAGGATATGTATGATGAAAATAAACAAAAATGGATAACATACATTTATTGCCCTTCATGAATGTGAATAAAGCAAGAACAACAGTTTTGCAGAATAAAATGGTACCTTAATTGTTTATTTCGTTGGCTTCTCATCAACTGCTTACAGGTCGAAGTCGTTATTAAGTATATCTATAGAAACAATTTTAGCATACTTGAACAGAGTTCATTTTTAAACAAAACTCAATCAGTGAATATATGCATACAGTAATAATATATATATATATAATATTAAACACTATTCCGAACAATAATGACCATACACAATGGAAACTTTCGACATTACGTAATCAGATGAAAGAGAGGTGAAAATATCCAGTTATCAGGGCAAAGAAAGACTGATAACTGCTTCTTTCTGAACGCATAAATCAGGTTTCAGGCGCTTGATGGAGATTGCTTCGGCAAACTTCAGGAGAACTGAACTTTTTTGCCTATTGATAATTTTGAACGATCTTGCAACGTCCACTTCATGACCCGTGTGAAGGAGATGCCTGGCAATGGCACTGTTTAAAGTATTTGTCCCCTTTAGACATAAGCTTTTTGGTACATGTTCATAAAATCGTAGATATGCCCTTCTTTCTGTTCTTCCAATGTAACTGCTCCCACAGATACATGTAAATTTGTATATACAGTTGGAGTTAACATGAGGAGGGTATCTATCGATTTTTGATTGCACCAAAGAGCAAGTTGTTCGATAGACGGGAACGAGCTTAGCTGCAGGATAGGCTCTGGCTGCTAGTGATGTCCCCAATCTTCTGTTGACCATTGCTGCAATGTTTTCACCTTTATAATCAAGTTGAATGTAGATGGGCTTTTTCTCCACTGTGATTTGCTTGACATTTGAGACTTCAGATCTTCCGTACTTGTTAATGAACCTTTGAGGGTAACCGTTGCTTTTCAACATCTTTTCAAGAAACACAAATTCTTCCTCTAATTTCTCTATAGAGCATAATCTCCTAGCTCTATAGTATAGAGTCTTGACTAGTCCACGTTTAAAGCTATTTGAACAAAATCTATTAAAATGTAAGTATTGTCCTTTCCATGTGGGCTTTCGATAAATTGACTTCTGAAGACTACCATCTTCTAGGCGTTGCATGGCAATATCGAGGCAATGGAACTTTCCATCATTTTCAGTATTGGTATGTGCGTCATTGAATAATCTGAGTAGGTAGGAAGCATGACTTTCATTGTTGCACACTACAAATTTGTCATCGACATATCGACAATATGTTGTTAATTCTATGCTTACTAGGATGACATATCTATGACAGAATGAAAGATAAAAGGAGATGCTCAACCTAGAGGAGAGTTATGATTTCATATGACCATTCTATCATTGAATAGCGCTCAGCACATTTAAGCAATTACTATTATTATTATTATAATCTATTAATGCATAAGTAAAATACTGAGGTCTAGTCAGAATTGCGAACATCAGCACCTGTTGTAAAGTAGGCACGCCTTATGAGTTTCCACAAAATAAAATGAAGGCGCAAATCTAACACTATGACGTTAAATACAATTAGTTAACTAGTACAACTATGTACTTTTATTCATTTTTTATTGTTGTTTATTGCATATAATACAGCAATCGGCTGAATCTAAACTGGAAGGATTAGATAGTCAACTGCATCGTTTGAAATCTCTGACAGATGATTTACAAAGACAACTGAACGAGCTGAACAATGCTAAATCCAGACTGACATCAGAGAACTTTGAACTTCTACGCATTAATCAAGAATATGAAGCACAAGTTTTGAATTATTCAAAGGCTAAATCTTCTCTTGAAAGTCAAGTCGATGATTTGAAACGATCATTGGATGATGAAGCGAGAGTAAGTTTTTGATGTTTTGTTTATTCCTGTCGAGTTGTTATTCTCAGTTAGTTAGTTAGTAGACTGCATAACATTTTTTGGGGGATTTTAACGCTTTCAAGGCATGGAAGCAGGCAGATAGAAATGCAAACTTAGAAGCATTTGAGTCGATGTAGGACCCTACAAGTCGTAGGGTACATGGTGATCGTTGTAATCGCTTCTAAAAACAGAAATGTTTGAAATTCCAGCTGGTTGGTTTTATTGAACTTAAATGTTTAGTTTGTATGTGCTCCTGGCATGGTGGCTTCTTCTTATTCAGGACACATATCATAGATTCCACCGAAAGCTACCATCAGTTGGGTCTCAGGGGATTGTCAAAGCATCAAACATACCATCAACACAATGAACATTTCATACAGTCCATTAAATGAACCAATGGAAATTCAGAGTTCAAAATTAATAATCAATACTCACCAGACAGGCGTTTGGAGTAAACACAGGAGTCAGACAAGGGTGCTTATTATCACCAATGATATTCCTAATTGTGGTGGACTGGATTATGCGTCAGACAGTGGGAAACGAGAAGACAGGGATATCCTGGACCGACATGAAGAAACTAGAAGACCTGGATTTCGCGCGTGGATGATTTATGTTTGATGTCACACAAAATCGAAGACTTACAAGCGAAAACCGACAAACTGGTCGAAGAAGCAGGCTGTGAAGACAGGACTCCAGGTGAACATAGACAAGACGGAGGTTATGAAAATAACCAACCAACAACAACAACAGCAGCAGCAACATCCAGTGCCAATCACCATCAACGGGAGGGATTTGAAAGAGGTTACTTCATTCACTTATCTAGGGAGCATTGTCTCAACTACAGGAGGAACGGACGAGGATGTCAAATCGAGAATCGGGAAGGCGAGAAACACATTCATCAAACTGAAACCAATTTGGAAATCTTCGTCACTCAGCCTGCATCAACAACAAAGTGATTCGGATTTTCAATACAAACGTCAAGTCAGTCAGTTCTTCTATACGGATCAGAAACTTGGTGGGTCACAAAGAATATTTTCAACAGCCTGTTGCAGACCTTTATCAACAACTGTCTTCGTTCGCTGAAGATCAGATGGCACAAAAGAATCACCAACAAGAAACTATGGGAACAAACAAAACAAGAACCAATCGCCCAACAAATATGCAGGAGAAAGTGGAGATGGATTGGACACTGGCTGAGGAGGCCGCTGGGTGACATCGCGCGTCAGGCCATCGCTCGAGTGGAACTCGAAAGGGAAGCGGCGAGTGGGACGTCAGTGCAAGGGTGACATGGAGGAGATCGTGTGAGGAGGAGATGAAACAGTATGGACTAACATGGATGCAGGTGAAAAGTACAGCAGAAGACAGAAGCAAGTGGAGACGTGTAGTTGAAGCCCTATGTTCCACTAGGAACCCAAGGGAACAATAATAATATAATAATTTATTGATTGCTTATAGGATAGAGAGAAAAAATGACAATACCGGTTTTACACCAAACAAAATTAACCTGCCTACAGTACAGAAATTGTGCTGAACCAGTGGTAGTTCGGTTACCAAGAAAGTGTTGTATTAATACCAGAATTATGCTTTCGACAGACGAGTTAAGCTAGGAAATCAGTGGAAATCGAAGGCTGGTGGACACTTGTTCAGTACGCTGATACATAAGGCTGAAGTCTAACTGCGAATTGACTGACAATATTTTAAGGCCTAATAACCTAATATCCGTGTACTGAATTGCAATTGCTGGAAAGAATCAATAAATTATTGTAAAAGAAATAACTGATGTTCAAAGGGATAGATTAACAGAAATTGCTTTAAACTTACATCAAACATAGGCTAAATTGTACACTGTTGATCGATAAGGTGATTTAAACAAAATACACCAGCCAATCAGAGAACAGAAAGCCTCTAGCAGCTTAATGATATCTTTTACTATAGGTATATCGATTGACGAAATGCTTTTCTTTTTTTAACTTTTCTAATTTCCTATCACTTAGAATCGTTTCAATCTTCAAGCTCAATTGACATCACTGCAAATGGACTATGATAATCTACAGGCAAAGTATGATGAAGAAAGTGAAGAGGCCAGCAATTTACGCAGTCAAGTCTCTAAGTTCAACGCTGATATGGCTGCCCTGAAATCGAAATTTGAACGTGAACTTATGAGTAAAACAGAGGAGTTTGAAGAAATGAAGTATGTTTTTGTGGATAAGTGTGTGTGTGTGTGTAATGTATTTTTTTGTGATTTAGAGAACAGTGTTAGCATGGAGTTTTGTTTTCCTTCATACTTCGAAAAGGCAGACAGAAGTGTAGAGAGAAGAAAGTTAACACTACCTCAGTAGGTTTAGATGTTGTATAGGAGAGGGAGAAATCTGGAAGATAACATCGAGTGGATACTTCTGCACCGCTGAGAACTGTTTTAAGCCATGTTACCAAACGTCTTAGCATCCTGAAGACCTCAGCTAGGCAGTTTACAACCCTCCACCTGATACAGACTTACAATCATGTGTTAGTCTGACCACTCACCCGTAACTTTCTTCCATCTAAGTCCTGTTTCATCAAACATTGTTTATAAAGTTAGACAGTGACTCAGTGTGTGTACCACCTGAGCTAGCCATCTTGATCTATGTGGCTTCATAATTTCACAGACTGTTTCCCTCTTCTAACATGACACACTACACCTCAACTTAGTATTACTGACCATATTATTTCACCTAACACAAGAGATCATGGTCAAAAACACACAACCACTTCATATTTTCCATTTTCAATGGCTATATTTTACAGACGTAAAGAAGGATGAAACGAACTGTTGAAGAGAACACAATTGCTTCGATGGATAGTCCGATATCATTAGGGTGGTGAAGCTAATGTAAGCTGGAAAAAGCGGAACCAGTCTTCTTTATCAGGGCTGAGATCTAATCAGTCAACATATTCAACCACTTCACTTCCTATCGTTCAACTAGGAGTTAATGCAGACCAGCCCTGTAATATCATTTTACATTTTACAGCGTCTAACTGCACGCCAAACACATCTGTTATTAGATGGTTGGAGGCAATTGGCCACGGGAAGCCTTGGACCTAGGTTTCGTGATAGTGGGCACTCACCAGTCAGCAAGGCGGCGTATCTGCAACCTTGAAGGAACTCATGTCGCTTCTGAGATTTGAACCCACGTCACTCAGTGCTGCCTGCAGTCAGAGACGTTACCACTAAGCTATTCGGGCTCGCAATTGACCTCCAAGGCTTCCTGCTGATTGCCTCCAACCATCTAATATCATCAAATCAATGTGCACTGTGTGGCGAGCTACCTAGAATGGTGGCCACATTGCAAAACCAAAGAAAGGACTAGACATATCACACTAGTTACTAGTGTCCAATGAAAGTACCCACTACAGTCCTACAGAAGGTCAATCGCGAGCCCAAATAGCTCAGTGGTAACGTCTCTGACTGCAGGCAGCACTGAGTGACGCGGGTTCGAATCTCAGAAGGGACATGAGTTCCTTCAACGTTGCAGATACGCCTTGCTGACTGGTGAGTGCCAACTAGCACGGAACCTAGGTCAGCAAGGATTGCCTCAACTTCTAATATCATAAATCAATGTGCACTGTGATGGCGAGCTACCTAGTGTCATGGTGGCCACATTGCACACCTGAGTGATAGAATTCAGTCTGCACCGAAGAAAGGACTAGCCAGACACATCACACTAGTTACTAGTGTCCAATCAAAGTAAACACACCTGTGTAATTTGCTTAAGATGATCAGAAGAACTTGTGTTTTATCAGCGTCTTTGTCTACTCTAGATCGACGAGTCAGTACATTTATGACGAAACTGAATAAGATTAGTGAGATTAAGCATTCCTGAGGGATACTATTGATTATCGTTACTTCAAATGACAACTCATCATAAATTTCTACACTGCTGTATGATTTCGAGTAGATTACCCTAATTGGTACAATTTACTTTCTTGACACTGGCATCACAGATTGATGTTACAACAGCAACGCTTTATCGATAGGGTCAAATGCTGCCTACATTCCAAAAAATACGAAAAATGTAAAACTTCAGCAGGTGTGTCTGTGTACCAAAACATTATAAGCAAGAAGATATGATCAATACACATTACTTTGGGCCTGAATAAGCGTCGATGGCGCAGTGGCAGAATGCTCTTCAGTCACTCACACTGTCCCGGGTTCGAACCCCAGCCAACGCAGCCTCAAACCTCAATTAGCTGGTAATAGGCCAGGCAACGAGGAAAGGTTGGACGTGAGACTAGCGATCCCACCCCGTAACCACTGCTTAAAGCCCTATCTTCAACTGGGAACTCAAAGAAATGAAATAAAGTAATGATAAAAATAATCGGGCCTGAATCCAGCCAGGGTTTATTCACTCTTCTTGTCCCATTTGTGTTTCTCAGGACTATGGGACCTAGAATCTTAGACATTATGTGAAGGTGATCTCCTTGTGATTATCACAGAAAGATTTATTTATCAACATCGATAATTCGCTTACATAATCAATGATTCTTACCTTGTTCCTCATAGACCCACTAGACCTTGAACTGATTTAAAGCGAAACGGCAAATATATAAAATTTCACTCATTGACTGAATGACAGCGTTTTTTCAGTGATATACGAATATTCTTGACTTCTGTTATCTTGCTGATGGTAACTAGCAGTGGAATCCAGGATGGAGAGTTCGTCTTGCCTGGGACTTGTCAGGTGGACACATCTACGTCCTCTATGAGTCATAGTTTTCCAACTAAGGCTTGAACTCGGCACCCATCGTTTTAAATGCCAAAGCGTTATCCACTAGGCTGCTGGGCCATTACAGCCCCCTCTTGTGTAACCGGTATCAGTTTTTACTTAATGAAATTAATATTTTCGAATTTGCTGTTGATTGATTTTACTTGGTTCGAGTCCTAGTGTGAACAAGAGGCCTCAGCTGAACTTCTCCATTGTACCTAGTTCTCCTTGATCTTGTTTTCAGATGTCTGCAAGACTGCCGTCTAGCTCTCATTTCCTTTTCACATAGTCATTTTTTATTTCTTCGTTGGATTTGCAACCCATCGCTTACTACTAGAGTGCCACTTGAGGAGAGTGGTGTATGATTTCATTTGAAGGTCTCTTCAGCGTATTTCCAGTCCATCTTCATTTTCTTCTGCGTATTAGCCGGGTAGTAGGTTATAGCCTGGTTTTCTGCAAGATTTCCTTGCTTCTTAGTGTTTCTGTCTAGCAATCTGATCTTTAGTGTTGAGACCATAACCTTATTTACAACCAATTAAACCTTATTACTTATTTGAGTTTTCAGCAGTATATCGCCTCTCTTTGTAAATTACTAATAATAATTGTATAATTAATCATTTCTGTTGTTATTACTGTTATTTAGGCGAAAATTCACAATGCGAATTACTGAACTTGAAGATACAGCTGAAAGAGAAAGGCTGAAAGCTGTTTCACTGGAGAAAATGAAGACAAAATTGACGCTTGAAATTAAAGATTTACAAGCTGAAATTGAAAGTGTACGTGTTTTATCAGTCAGAAGTTGTTTTTTTTTAATGAGATTTTCACGCATAATTCTTCTCAACAATTAATTAGGGTATTGAGGTCTATCCTACAGGATATTTGTGGAATCGGTCTGAATAGAACATGATGTGAGCAAGTTGGAACCACTTCAGTTAAACATCAGTGTGTATTGCAGTGCGTCGGTGGCATAGCGGTTAGGACGCTTGTCAACCATGCACATGGTCCGGGGTTCGATCCCCGGCCGGCGCACTCCTTTACCTCACTGAGCCAGAAATAATGCTGGTAAAGAGGAAAGGTTGGACATGAGGCTAGCAACCCCATCCTGTAAAATAAACACTGCTACAGAAACTTCAAGCCACAAGCTTGAAGCCTTGTAATGCTTACTAGCTAGATTAAAGTTATCTAAACATCAGAAAGCTATGCTACTCTTTTGGGACCGAGCCTATTAGTGGTGTAGCCAGCTCAGAGAGCCGAAAAAAGTCCAGACTTCATGAATTCTGGTCAGCTACCTCAGCGAACTGGTCATATTTCTTGTTTAGTGTTCAGACATTGTTAGTTACATTCAACTGTCTAACTGTTTTGGGTTATTTACGTGGAGAATTGCATTGGTCGACAGCATTACCTGTTTACTGAAGGAAGAAAGGTCTTTTCGCATTCTTCGCGTTTCAAGTGAAATATTTCAAGCTTTACAACTTCAGTAATGCTGCTGTTTTTATCTGGACTGGAGCTGCTAGCCTAGTGTTCAGTATTCCATCTTTTCCGCGCTAGGCGATGTTTAGAAGTGCGTCCATTGGGAGTCAAGGCCGTACCTTCCACGTGGTTATAGTACCCTCCACCATTTAACCATTGACAGCCTACCGGTTATATCACGTTGAAAACACCAGTCCTCGTCTGATCAACGAAATGGGAATTTATTCCGTGTGAATTGGCCTAGGACTCATATGGTGCATCCAATTAACAAATTTTAATCATAATGACTGACATTAGGCAACTAATCTACATTTGGTGAATTGGTTAAGTTGACAGTATATACATTAATTGTACAAATCATCTAGGTACAAAAAATTTCCAGGAAATGTTTTTCAAAATAGAAAAATCAAACCTACATCGACATTTCCGTTTCGCGAGATCCTCAAAAGAAAATGGAAAGGGACTCAGCCATCCTTGGATTGGTTTTTCTCAACACTGATAATAAATTTTAGATATGTCTCTTCTCCTTCCAGGAATTATTTTACTCGTTAATTACATCCGAGTAAAACACAGGATCTTAGCTGCATATCTAAGTTCTACTCGTATCTCTGCCGTCACTTCCAATAGGCTCCAAAACTGCCCACAAATTTTAATTTCCTCTTCACATGATCCTTTCCAAGTCACTTAAGACGCTCAACTGGTTGCTTCCCATTCGGAATCAACTTGAGGGTATGCTTCGCGTGTGCTATCACTTGGAAGTCTCTTCAGAGTATGTCCATCCTATCTTGGTGGTTTGTGGATCATTGGTAGAATTCCGGCCTAATGAGCACGCGGTCCGGATTCGATACCTCGTCTATGCTGCCCTAAACCTCATCGCTCTGATTGTAAGCCTGGAAAAAAGGACAGGTTGGGACTGAGGCAGAAACTCTAACCCCGTAAAATAACGTTGCTGTTGAAACCTAAAAGGTTTTCAGTCATATGTTCCCTTTCGGAAAGGAAGGAATGAACAAATTCGCCATTTCCTGCACATTTGTTAGACGGTGGTAGGCTGTTACCAGGTTCTGTGACAGATATCGTTAAGTTTACAGGAAACTTAATGAATCCCTCGAAGTGACGACAGGAGTAGGACAAGGCTGCCTACTATCGCCAATGATTTTCCTGATTGCAGTAGACTGGATAATGCGACAAACAGCAGGCAATGAGGATACAGGCATAAAATGGACTCACACAAAAAACTTGGGGGATCTGGACTTCACCGATGATATATGTCTGATTTCCCAAAAACTGGAAGATATGCAAGCGAAAAGCAACAAGTTGGCAGAAGAAGCATCCAGAGAAGATAGGACTTCAGGTGAACATAGAGAAAACAGAGGTGATGAAGATTCCTGGGCAACACTACCAACAGCAACAACAACAGACAACAATCAGCATAAATGGAAGGAACCTGAAAGAAACTACCTCCTTTACCTACCTGGGAAGCATCGTTTCAACTACAGGTGGACGGAAGTGATGAGGATATCAAAGCAAGAATCGGAAAAACAAGACAAGCTTTCACTACTCTCAAGTCTGTGTGGAGGTCAACAGCACTACTCAGCATCAAAAATAAGATCCGGATTTTCAACTCCAATGTTAAGTCAGTGCTACTTGCTGTATGGATCAGAGACTTGGCCAGCGCGTCATAAAGAGCATCTCAAACAAACTACAGACCTTCATTAACAGTTGTCTTCGCTCAGTACTCAAGATCAGATGGCAGTCAGAAAAGATCAGCAATAGGGACCTGTGGGAGTGAACTAAAAAGGAACCGATTGTGCAACAAATAAGCGGGAAGAAATGGAGATGGACTGGCCATACTCTGAGGAAACCATCAAGTGATATCACTAGACAATCCATTGCTCGAGTGGAACCCGAAAGGGAAGCGGCGAGTTGGTTGGCAGTGCAAGGGTGACTTGGAGGAGGTGATGTGAAGAGGAGATGAAAACGTGTGGGCATTCTTAGAGCCAGGTGAAGCCTCTAACAGAGAACCGAACGCAATGGAGACGCACGGCTGAAGCCCTATATTCCTCCAGGAATTAAAGGAAACAATAATAATATTACAGGTTATGTGCCTGGGTATCTTAAAGAATTAACTACTGCCAAAAGAGGCTGAAAGCAATGTATTGTGTTGATGTCACCTACATTCGGATGGTAATCACCAGTGATCATACCAGAAGCCTGGAGCCTTTTCCACTGGCTAGTTGCACTCTGTATATCACATTGTAACCTGTTAAATCTGTTACCCTAAAGAGACAATCTTCTCTGGTTACTCGATCCCAAGGCTATTCGGCTTTGAGTAAATGTCTCTGTCGTCAAGATTAGATGGTTTTTCATTTGACGACCATGGTAGCTGCATTTCTCTGCAGCACAGATATACATCTCTATGTTAACTGACATCAGGAGGTAAAGTCACATCTATGTCAGACTTCTGAATACAGTTCCTCAAGGTGCTGAACGAAGATGTACTGTTATAAGACATTTTTTCTTAAGTGTATGTCGTTTCTTTGATTGCATTTATTTTTATTGCTGAATATACTTTCCAGTTGTCATTGGAGAATGGTGAATTAATGCGTCGTGCAAAAGCTGCTGAATCATTAGCCTCTGATCTTCAACGTCGTGTCGATGAGCTGACAATAGAAGTTAACAACTTGTCTTCACAGAATAGTCAACTTGAAGGTGAAAATATGCGATTAAAGAGTTTAGTAAATGATTTATCTGATAAGAATAATGCCTTAGAACGTGAGAATCGTCAGTTAAGCGGTAAGTTTGCAGTGTTAAGCTTGTTGTATGAAATGTTTTTTTGTACGAACAGTTTAGAAATTGAAGGAATAAAAGGGTAGATACTTTTGAATGGTTTAGGAATTTCCGACTGTGCAGAAATACTAAAATTGAATTGTAGGACGTCCTAGACAAGTGACAATTGTGTTACTTCTCTGAAATTTGCCAGATTATCATATTTTTGAAATTTTCCTCAGACTGCAGCACAGCACGATGATGCTTCTGTATGTATACCTGATGGGTATCAGAGATAGACGAACAAACGCCTGTCCATACATAAGTTCACATGATTCTATGATGGATTTCGTCGCCAACAGATATCAGTTAGAGGTCTGTTGACAGGCAGAAAACAGTCCCTTAATCATGTTTTTGACACTGTCACCAGTGACTGGTCACGACGCCAAGACTATCCGTCAAATCTCAGCGTTCATATAACTTGAACTGAATTTGAGATTTTCCTGTCGATTGATTGGACCGAAGTGCTTGGTCTCAGGTTGACATGTCGGCTTCTTGTGCAGATGCTTCGACGATGTCTGGGCATGTAATTAGAATTTAATTTGTGGATGGTGACTAGCAGTGGAATCCAGGATAACGCGCATTTCGTCCTATTTGGGACTCGTCATCTGGATGTCAACATGTCAACCTGAGACCGAGCACTTCGGTCCAATCAATCGACGGGAAAATCTAAAATTCAATTAAATAATTAATATGACCCGTTGCACAAGAGATAGTGGCTCTCGTGGCCCAAGTGGTCTAGTGGATAACGCTTTGGCGTTTGAAACTATGGGCACTGGGTTCGAGCCTCGGTGGGAACATCATCACTGACTCACTGGGAAATGCAGGTACATCCACTAGCTGATGAGTCCCAAATAGGACGAAATGCGCGTTATCCTGGATTCCACTGCTAGTCACCACCCACAAATTAAATTCATATAACTTTATTTTAGGTAACTGGGCATTTTCGGGCGTTATTTTTACGCCGTGAGATTAGCATCATTCTAAAGGACAATGAGGACTGTATAACTAACTCTTCATTCTCAGGAACTCTGTCATAGTGAATGGAGATGAAGACTTAGAAAACAGAAGTAATTCTTAGGAAGTTTGAACCTAAGGCTATTTAAGACAATGTCAGCTTGTGATATTTGGTCAAATGTACAAATGCATCTTGGTGTTGTGTTTGACTTCTCACGATATTCATGACTTCTCATGTGAGTACTAAGGAGACAGTCTCTAGCTTCAGGGGAAAAAAGATACATATTGCAGAAGCGACCGAAGTGAGGGATGATAATAGCCAATAAGGACGAAATGTTCATTGCGTAATTCGTATATTATCGCTCGCTGAATATGGTGACTACCTGCCCAGCCGTCTTCATTTCTTTTCCCTCAACATTATTGGCGTTTATGCCCATCCAAATGGTGTTATGAAGTATAAGCGTTAGGCTACAGTTTCATAAATGCCACAATGACTTACCAATCTTTGAATTGCTCTACTTTGCTTCAAATATTCCTGCAGTTGTACTCATTAATTCACTCTTTTTTTATTTTGGTGCTTATTTTAGACCAAGTCAAAGAAATGAAGAGTTCACTTCGAGATGCTAATCGTCGTCTAACTGATTTAGAAGCTCTTCGATCCCAGTTAGAAGCTGAACGCGATAATCTTGCCTCAGCTTTACACGATGCTGAAGAAGCTCTACGTGATATGGATCAAAAATATCAAGCTTCACAAGCTGCATTGAATCATTTGAAATCGGAAATGGAACAAAGACTTCGTGAAAGAGATGAAGAGTTGGAAAGCTTAAGGTGAGCAATTTAGAACTGGTATTCGCGATTTCCTTTTATGAGTTTTCTCATACTGTGTTTAGTAGTCAGACAGAAAGGCAACTGTCTTTAGCCTCACAAAAGTAACGAATTATGGCTATATGGTTAGAGGAAACCACCAGAAATGAGACGATAATATTGATACTAGAAGAACGTTAAGTATGAAGGAACTTCATTCCCCACAAAACAAAAAGGTTCTAGCCAGGTAGTCTCAGCCTTAAACCGATGACGAATCACTTCATTTAGTGGATGCATCAGTTCATCTCCCAGAAGACTTCCTCTGACTGCGGTAGACAACATATTGCTGTGAGTAGAACATACTCTGTTGGCCTCAGTTGATTCAGGTTTTCAATCACATCATAAAGAACAAAACCTGCAGGGCAAAGTTAAACTTTAAGCACCACTAACTAGCTACCAATCAGCGAATGACCTCGAACGCACCAATCACGTGAAGGAGGCATTTTTGAGTATGGAATAATATATATTTATGAAGAGAAAATGCATAAAAACTGTATAAAAGTGTGACAGAGGATACCTTTCTCTCACATGTGATAAAAAGAGCTCTCAGTTTTAGTTTGGAGTATCAACAGAGTATAATCCCATTGTGGGTAAAATTTATTTTGATAAAGTCTCACGGTGTTATACAGTAATATTTACTGGACAATAAACTGTGCTCGAAACGTGGTCATCAGTAAATATTACTGTATAACAATGTGAAACTTTATCAAAATAAATTTTACCCACAATGGAATTATACTCTACCACTGCAGTGCACAAGTTCTATTCTTATATCAACAGAGTAATTTAACCACATTCTATGCATGTAATTATTTAGGTCTTCTAACCCTAACAATAACCCTAATCTTTCCTAAACCTAACCCTAACGTGAAAATATCCCTAAACTAACCCTAATCTAACTTGAACTAACGCTAATGTCGCCTTTAATAGGTTAACCTAACCCTAACTTGTCATTGGCCTTTCCCAAACCTAAGGTGAAACTTGCTAGAAATCCCATTTAATAACCTAACACTTCGATGAGCATATTTTATTTGTGATGACGACATTATCTGCCAGGTTTCACTAACTTGCTCAATGAGCATTTCAAGGTCACTGGTGCGGTCGCACTCCATTGATAGTTAGTTAGTGGTGCTTAAAGTTTAAAATGTGCCCACTTTACTTCAACTGTAGACAGCCTAAAATATACGTGTAGCATTCAGTAAATAAGAACAAAGATTTTTTAATTCTCATCAGTTTGTCTGTAAGGATTTGCTTTGTTTCAGTTTTGATTACGTACGGATCGATATCAGTCAGAGAACCATTGGAAACCACGGAGTAGTGGACAGCTGTTTCGTCCTAGTTTGAGACTCATCACTGGGTTTCGAATGCAGCTATCCAGTGGTCCCTGGTTTTCAGTATTTTTTATTCTATTAGCAGAAGTAACTCATTTAGGTGATTTCAAGCCCCCTTCAAATGTTTACTTCTACATTATTACGTAATCTCTTCACTTAGTGTTTTTATTTCACTTGAAGAGAAGCCTAGAAATAAAATATGCACACTTTATACTGAACTCTCTGTTGATAAATAAAGCACCTATCATCAAAACGTCTAACTCACTTGTTCCAATAACCACAATCTCCACTTAAACAACCATCTTGACAATAAATTCATTCTCTCGTATCTTCACTCGAAACAATCCTATTTTACAGGCATAAAATAGAATCAGGCCGTACTATTCAACTGTTTACTTACCGTCTTAGACACACCAAAGCGGTTATAACTTAGTATACGAAACGAGATCGATCGCGTCCCAGTGGCGTAATGGTCTACGAACTCATTCGTCTAGTAACAGGAAGCCCCTGGGTTCGAACCTCCCTGTGGTGGATGCGTGCTGATGAAGCGGAGTCCCAAACTTGACTGACGAAACAGCTGGCTGTCCAGTACTCTCTGTGGCTGGTTTTCCAATGGTTCTCTAACCGATGTCAGCTTACGATGAAATCCTGTAACCAGTCAAACAAAATGCCTACAAACCAATACTTGAACAACTAGATTCTGTCTACACTCCACTCATTCGTCAACCAATCAGATGATTCAGGATACAGAAGTATAAATTCAGTGGTGTAAGAACCCCCGGGCCAATCATCGTCATCTATATTCAGCTATTTGTATTTAGTTTATCTGACTAGAGAAACCAATTCCTCATCCTAATACTCAAAAAATAGCTAACTGTATGACACTCAAGACTCGAAGAGAATCCCTTTTAAGTCCTATTTTTAAACTTTCCTTTTCTCTTTTTTTTCTTACAGAAAGAGTACTGCTAGAACAATCGAGGAGTTGACAGTGACAATAACTGAAATGGAAGTGAAATACAAATCAGAATTGTCACGTTTGAAGAAACGTTATGAAGCCAATATTGCTGAATTAGAGATACAGTTGGATGCAGCAAATAAGGCGAATGCCAATCTAATGAAAGAGAATAAGAATTTAGCACAACGTGTTAAAGATTTGGAAACATTCTTGGATGAAGAGCGTCGTTTACGTGAAGCAGCTGAAAGTAATCTTCAGGTGAGTCATGCTGGAAAGAATTAGCCTTGTGTCGTAATTTTGATGTCGTTCTCATTTTATTAGTCTTGCTTGCCGACCGACGAAAATCATTCTACCTGGTTTAAATGTCGTTCATTATTTATTATAAAAAGTCCTGATACAAAGGAAAAAAACAGACAAGTAATGTGTCTGTCATTCAGATAACTTCGGGAGAGAAGATCAGATATGCGATTACCACGGAGGAGGTAACGTTTGTAATTGAAAGGTACAATGTAGAGATGCTTAACTGAGATCTGCATTTAATTGAGTACTACAAGTGAGAGGCTTTTCTTTTGACCTAATTCACCATCTCTGAATGTAAATGAACATTACTCACAAAATGTTTTAATCTTTTTGTGACGTTGGACAGTTTAATACTACAGTTGACACCCTATTCGACCGGAATGGATACACCGTTCGGTCATTAGGCAGTAACCAATTTAGATATGATGGAGAAGAAATTTTAGCTCAGGTGGATGATTTTGATGTGGTTGTGTTCTCTGAGCTGGTTAGTTAATTTGCGAAGCTTTCATTGCCCTACTTACTAGGTAACATCTTCAGTGCATACTTCAATCTGTTGAAGTGAGCTTTTAGATTTCTCCACAAGTTTATTGGTCATCTCTCCTGGTGGGTGACCTTGAAAGTGATTGGTTGTTTTTGTGTGTTTTCACACCCTCTAGGCTTCTACTTGTATTGGTATTGGTGTTGATTGTTTCCTTGACCTGAACTTTGACCCTTTGTGTGTGAGATTTCCTTCTTATCGGTTGGTAAATTTTGTCTATGTCTATGTGTCTATTGATTGACGATTCACTGGAATACCAGGTGGGCTTCTAAAAATTCTCTGGCTAGCATTCTTGGTGTTTCCTCTGTCTAATATTTGAATGCTGGTTGTCCCAGTCGAATTGATGTCCGTGGTTGTCTGTATGCAGCGATATGAAGGAGGGAGTGGATGACATGTCTTTTGATGGCTAGCTTATGATCATGGATACGAAGACGAAGCGGACCTTGTACACTTTGACCAATGTAGTGTTTTTCGCAATTGTTACAATCTATTTTGTAGATGATGTTTGGTTTTATCTTCTTTCCCTATTGAGTCTTTTGGTTGACATAGAACTGAGTGAAGTGATTTTATTGGTTTGTGTGCAGTAACCAATTTCATGTGTATACTCTTTAGTGGTAAGTGAACTCTATCAGTCAGCTATCAGTGCATACAATGAATAATTTAATTACCTTCAATACTCAAATATTCTTTCTGAATGATCGTCAGACACCTATCAATATTTCAGTATATCACATCCCTGTGAGTACTTGCAAGTCTACGGAACAACACATATTCAATATTTACGGTATAAGTTAGAAAATCATTAGAAACCAGGGGCGTATTGGTCGGCTGTTTCGTCTTAACGTTGAATTACAAAATGAACAGAAATTAGAATCCATGATTCACTGAATTCCAGTGTTGTGGCTTAACAGTCAACAGGTTGGTCTCATAAATTGAAGGTTCTCAGTCCCATTGTTGATGAGATTATAGGTGCACTCTGTCAAACATTCGTAAACTGTGGCGAAGTCTTATCACTTCGGAAGATTATTATTATTATTACTGTTCCCTTGGGTTCCTAGTGGAACATAGGGCTTCAACTGCACATCTCCACTTGCTTCTGTCTTCTGCTGTACTTTTCACCTGCATCCATGTTAGTCCATACTGTTTCAACTCTTCTTCACACGATCTCCTCCATGTCACCCTTGCACTGACGTCCCACTCGCCGCTTCCCTTTCGGGTTCCACTCGAGCATTGGCCTGACGCGCGATGTCACCCAGTGGCCTCCTCAGCGAGTGTCCAATCCATCTCCACTTTCTCCTGCATATTTGTTGGGCGATTGGTTCTTGTTTTGTTTGTTCCCATAGTTTCTTGTTGGTTTTGTTCTTTCCGGCCATCTGATCTTCAGCATAGAGCGAAGACAGTTGTTGATAAAGGTCTGCAACAGGCTGTTGGAAATATTCTTTGTGACCCGCCAAGTTTCTGATCCGTATAGAAGAACTGACTGACTTGACGTTTGTATTGAAAATCCGAATTTTGTTGTTGATGCTGAGTTGAGTGAAGAAGATTTCCAGATTGGTTTCAGGTTGATGAATGTGTTTCTCGCCTTCCCGATTCTCGATTTGACATCCTCGTCCGTTCCTCCTGTAGTTGAGACAATGCTCCCTAGATAAGTGAATGAATTAACCTCTTTCAAATCCCTCCCGTTGATGGTGATTGGCGCTGGATGTTGCTGTTGTTGTTGTTGTTGGTTGGTTATTTTCATAACCTCCGTCTTGTCTATGTTCACCTGGAGTCCTGTCTTCACTGCCTGCTTCTTCGACCAGTTTGTCGGTTTTCGCTTGTAAGTCTTCGATTTTGTGTGACATCAAACATAAATCATCCACGCGCGAAATCCAGGTCTTCTAGGTTCTTCACGTCGGCTTCGGAAGATTAAGTCACCTTTATATATTCACCAAACAATTTAGCATTCCACTAATCCTTTCATAGTTAATTCTGTTTTGAAATTTAAAATGAATGTACTATTATCTCCACCTTTTTTTTATTTATTTGCATGCATTTTTGTTTCGACCTTCAATGTAGCCCTTTTAAAATATGACCTATATTCGTTCTGTTACGCCAACTTAATGATTTATTATTGTTCGTGTAAATGCCTATTACAAGTACAATATGAGATCAGATTATTCGAAATGCGTAGATTTTAGATAAATTAAGTTTTCTACGAACAGATAAAAGAAAAACACCAATGGGATCATCGCCCATATCAGAATTATAGCTGGCATCATACAAAGATTAGAATTAATAGCTCTACCTATAATTAAACCAAAATTCTGGACGGGTACATTACGTTGATGATACATTTGTAATAATGAAAAGAAATGTGATTTGGAATATACCCATAAATTAATAAACAACATATTTGAAGACACTAAATTCACCATGAGAGAAGAAGAATTAGATAACAAAATCCCATTTTTAGATGTCTTAATCAGGAGAACTAACACAGGAAATTTAGAAACACAAGTATATAGAAAATAAACGCACACAGATCAAATACTCAACTATACTAACAATAATCCAATTACCCACAAAAGAAACTGTGTGCAGACATTGTTTAAAAGAATTCAAACACACACTTTGTAGCACTCCAGCGTTGAAAAGAATGGAAGAAAAATACCTACTAACGGTCTTCAAAAAGAATGGTTATCCACAAAATTTCATCAAAAAGTGTTTAAAATCGAATCACAACACCAAAAGGGAAACCATCATCAAAGACCACAAGAAAATTTATCCTACCATATATAAAAAATATCTCTGAAATGACAGCTAGAATATTGAAACCGTTTGAAATAGATATAGCACACAAGCCGGTCAAATCACTTAATTCGATATTGTGCAAACCGAACGATCCAACAGAAAAAGGAGATAAAATTAATGCCATTTAACAGACAATACATCGGTGGTCAAAGTGGGCGTCCCCTTCGAATCAGAATCCAAGAACACAAATCAGCTGTGAAAAGACATGATATCCATATTCTTTCATATCAATGCATATAGATAATTATGGACATCAGTTCGATTGGGATAATGTCGAAATTTTAGACAGAGGAAACACCAAAAGTGTCAGGGAATTCCTAGAAGCCTGGTACTCAAACGAATCAGCCAGCGATTAACAAACATGTTAATATAGACCAAATATACCAACTAATAAAAAAACAAATCATGTGACGAGAAAGTTTAAAATCCAAGTCAATAAAAAACGATCAATACAGATGTAATACAGATGGTTACCAGGAGACGCAATTCTATCACTCATGGAAAATTTAAATCATTTCACTTTATGCTAAAAATTGCGCTGAAGGGGGATGTTGTCCAGAGGGTGGACGACGAAAGCTCCGTAACTAAACCAACCAGCTCAGAGAACACTACCAATTGTAAGTTTTCTACTGTTGTATCGTCCGAATTCAAAGTAGGAGCCAATTTTATTTCAAATTATTAAAAGAATGTGCAATAAAAGTATTGAATATTCAACATTCCATTGTAGGCGTTTAATTTGGTCTTTAAACCGTCTAATTGATTTTTTCTCCTCTCTCTCTCTCTGTCAAGATCTCTGAACATAAACGTATACAATTATCAAATGAAGTTGAAGAATTACGTAGTGCACTTGAAAATGCAGAACGTGCACGTAAACATGCTGAAACTGAATTAGAAGAGGCTCAATCACGTGTCAGTGAATTAACTATGCAAGTGAATACATTGAGTAATGATAAACGTCGTCTTGAAGGTGATATTGGCGTAATGCAAGCTGATATGGATGATGCTATTAATGCAAAACAAGTAGGTTATCATAAATATTTGAAAAAAATGTCTTGTTTACTCAAGTTTTTATGATTTTCAAGTATTGGTTTTGTAGTGATTTTGTTTAATTGGTTGGAGGATTTCATCATGAGCTGACATTGGTTATAGAACCATTGGAAACCAGCCACAGGGAGTACTGGACAGGTGGTTCGTCCACATAGTTTGGGACTCTTCACAGTACCCAGTCACCACAGGAGTTCGAATGAGTTCGTAGACCATTCATCAGTCACTGGGAGCCGATCCAATGGCCAGGCAGCCCATGAATTCTAACTTCTGACAATTCACGACATAGTGCGACCTGATTGAATTAACCAGAGAGCTAATTTTGGATGCATAGAGGTTCCTTGAACTCATTCCTTGATATCAATATGATGAATGAAACGAGGTTACTTGTTGAAGAGTCACTTCTATTCGAAACCAGAAGGTGCATCTCGTCTTGTTTGGGATTCCTGAGCCGGATATACCTGTGATAAATCCAACTGATCAGCTGTGAAAACTTCTCTCCTAGATTTCAAACACGATTGTAATAAGTCTTGGTTTAAATAGAACTATGTGGCTCCCTCGGGTTCCAAGCATAAGGCTTCAACAGCATGTCTCCACTTTATCCTATTATCTGAGGTCCGTTTTGGCTGAACCCACGAGTATCCATAAGCATTCATCTTCGCCATGTCACCCTTCATTTCCTATTCGGGTCCTACTAGAGTGATGGCCTAGCACTCGATGTTATTTGACGGTCTCCCAAGAGTGTGTTCACTCCAACTGCATTTGTGACGACAGAAGACAAGGGCCAGGCAACAGATCCTTTATTGAGAATTCAAGAGATATATATAGATTGCTACGTACATTATTATTAGCGTTATTGTTAGCAGAGAGGTAACGTCTTCTGATTGGTTGTTTTCCTGCTGAAGGTTATTCTGTGCGGCCATATATCTGCGAATCGTACTTGCAAATGTTAATTATGTTGTGATTGGTTGTTGAGTTAGTCTTTGTTCTTGTTTTTTTCTCATGACCAAGATTTGGGACGTAAACACATTGACGTAAATTGCGCTGTCTACCAATTTTGGCTAGCAGACAGCTGTCACCACATTACTACTACCAACTTACGAGATATTTGTTGAGCTACAGGTTCTTGATTTATTCGTTTCCAGAGTTTCTTGTTGCTTACACTTTCTGACTGGCCATCTGACCTTCAGTATGAAGCCAGAGATGCAGGCAGCTGTTGATAAAAATGAAAGCAGCCTACTGGAAATGCTTTCCGTGATTCGCCAACTTTCTGACCCATATAGAAGTGACTTAACATTGATGTTGAAGACCCGTGATTTTTCTCTTTATGCTAGGTGTAGCAGATTTGCAAAGTGATTTCAGAGTGATGAATTTCTCTTCTACCTTTCCGATTGTTGTTTTTGACATCCTTATCTGTGTGCTAACTGCCCGTTGTTTGAAATGATGCTTGCTAGATAAGTAAAGGGATTGACGTCCCTCAAATTTATTCCCTGTGATTTTGATTGGTGCTTGCTGCTGTCATTGTTGGTGGTTGGAAGTGTTTAATTATGACAGTGAGGAAATTAGACAGAAAGAGAATGAAAATACAAGTCAGTGACTATCGTTCTAACCAGCCTGCCTAAAACTATCCCGACAACTAAACAATTGGATGGTATTTTTCCATACTTGGTTCCTTTGCATCTTGTCTTGAAAATGTCACAGTTACCTTACTTTACACAACATTCGCCATATATAAAAATATATTTTTGTTCCTTCACGTTCCCAGTGGAACATAGGGCTTCAAGCTAGAGCCAGCTTGAAGTTTCTGTAGCAGTGGTGATTATTTTTACAGGATGGGGTTGCTAGCCTCATGCCCAACCTTTCCTCCTTACCAGCTTTTTTATTACTAGCTTAGCGAGGTAAAGGAGTGTGTCTGCTGGCCTGGGATCGAACCCCGGGCCATGTGCATGGTCGGCGAGCGTCTTAACCGCTGTGCCACTGACTGCACTATATATATGTATACATTCATGTGTCAAATCTTCTAAACCTGCGATTGTGATAATTTGCTTTTGTTTAGTTACAGGATTGCATCATAAGCTGATATCGGATTCTGCTTAGTCCTGTCAATCATATTACGTCACTTAATTTACTTATTTAATTTTTCTATACTTTCTACCCGATTAACGCCTTTCGTTATACATAATTTGTCATCGCAAAACTATTTAAAGTTACAATGATACATCTTTGGGAACATTCCTCTTGTTGCTAAGATATTACATATATATACGTTTGTGCAGGTTGAGAATGATATCGCTCAAAATAATAACTCTTTTATATTTTAACCGCATAAATTAAAAATAACGCTGAGGTATAAACAAATGGTGGCATCTACTGTTAACTGGTTAGAAGTAGTTAGCAGTGGAGTTCAGGGGGAATATTTTGCCCTATTTGGGACTCATCGTGCGTTGGTGGCAAAATGGTGGTATGCTTGCAAACCACACAGGTGGTTCAGGGTTCAGTCATCGGCCACCGATGCACTCCTTTTCCTCGCTAATTTAGTAATAAGACTGGTAAAGAGGGAAGGTTGGGCATGAGGCTAGCAACTCTATCCTGTAAAAATAAACACCACTGCTACCGAAACTTCAAAGCTCTAGCTTGAAGCCTTTCTTATGTTTCACTGGGAACGTAAAGGAATAAAATAATAATGATAACAATCTGGGACTCATCACATGGATATAACTGCATCTTTAGTGAGTGACGGAGTTCTCCCTGAGATTCGTATCTGATGTCAAAGAGTCAGCCATTAAGCCAGTCAACTACGACAACCACCTCTTGTGCAACAGGTGTCAGTAGTCATTTGTTAAGTTACTTTGACTAATATTATTGGACTTAAATGCTTAGACGAAGCATCTGCACTAGAAGCCGAACGACTTAATAAATATGGAGCATTTCAACCCAGTATAATCAACTGAAAATATGGTATCTATTGTTGAAATATATTGATTTCGTTAAATTAAAATATTTCTTGGGTGACTGGTCAACAATTTAAAGTCACACTACAGTATTAGAGAGGTTAGAATTTATGGGCTAATGAATTCCAACCCGGCAGCAGAATGGTCATTGGGCTGGCTTCATAACCATATAGACTGTGGGTTTGACTACCATTGGGCGTTATGCGTGTGCAGCGCTGAAGAGACCCACATCATGACGAGAAATCTATCCATTGTTACTTGGTCTTCAATGATTCTTTAACTGATGTCGGTTTATGACGAAATCTAGGCTGGAATAAACTTAAGAATTAAAATGACGTGATGCTATATATCTCCACATTGACTACAAAGTAATAAACGCCTGTCGCGTTCCACGGATCCCTACTTTGACCTCCTCACATATGAAGTGTGTCTAATTCTCTATAATACAAGAATTTCATTGTAGAGTTTTATTATTATTATTGTATCCTTTAATTCCTACAGGAACATAGGGCTTCAGCCGTGCGTCTCCATTGCGTTCGGTTCTCTGCTAGAGTCTTCACCTGGCTCCATGTCTGCCCACACGTTTTTATCTCTTCTTCACATGACCTCCTCCAAGTCACCCTCGCACTGACTACCAACTCGCCGCTTCCCTTTCGGGTTCCACTCCAGCAATGGCTTGTCTAGTGATGTCACTTGATGGTTTTCTCAGAGTATGGCTAATCCATCTCCATTTCTTCCTGCAGATTTGTTTCACAATCGGTTCCTGCTGGTTTGGTTCACTCCCAGAGATCCTTCTCTGTTGCTGATCTTTTCTGACCGGCCATCTGATCTTGAGTAGTACTGAGTGAAGATAACTGTTAATGAATGTCTGTAGTTTGTTTCAGATGCTCTTTATGACGCGCAGTACAAGTCTCTGATCCGTATAGTGAGTAGCACTGACTTCACATTGGAGTTGAAAATCCTGATCTTATTTCTGATGTAGAGTTTTAGTTATATGTATATATGATGACAATTTTCTTCTGTTGTGTGGTTTTTAGGCTGCTGAAGACAGAGCAACTAGACTGAATACTGAAGTTCTCCGTTTGGCAGATGAATTACGTCAAGAACAAGAGAATTATAAACATGCTGAAGCTTTACGAAAACAATTGGAAGTTGAAATACGTGAAATTACTGTGAAATTAGAAGAAGCTGAAGCATTCGCTACTCGTGAAGGACGTCGTATGGTTCAAAAACTACAGGTAATCTAAATTTAGATAATTTTAAAAACTGGTAAAGTTTCCAAGTGTTTAATTAAAAAAGTGAAAACAAAGTTGAGCAAAGCGTTGTCATGAAAGCGAAATGAACAACTTTTTATCTCTTTTATACAACATAAACAAACAGCGCCTAAAAACTTTCTGTTTACCAGAGAATCAATTTAGTCCCTAGTTTGAATTTTCACTGCAAACTAAGTCTTACTTCAGCTTTCGTCATCCTCCGCGTAAGCCAACTTTCAGTCCAGTGACCATTTCACATTATGGTAGCGAATAATTATGATTACAGTGATATTGAATAATGCAAGAACAACAGTGGTTTTTGCAGAATAAAATGGTACCACCCTTTGTTTATTTCGTTGGCTTCTCACCAGCTCAGCTGCTTACAAGCCAAAGTCATTATTAAGTATATCTATAGAAACAATTTTAACATACTTGCACAGCGAGTTCATTTTTGAACAAAAATCAATCACTATATACATCCAAAAATAATATTAAACACTATTCCTAACAATAATGATCATACACAATGGAAGCTTTTAACATTACGTAATCAGGTAAAAGAGAGGTGAAAATATCCAGTTACCAGGAGGGGCAAAGAAAGACTGATAACTGCTTCTTTCTGAACGCAGAAATCAGGTTTCAGGAGCTTGGTGGAGATCGCTTCAGCAAAAATGAGGAGAATTAAACTCTTTTGCCTACTGATAATTTCGAAGGATCTTACGACGTCCACCTCATGACCCATGTGAAGTAGACGTCTGGCGATGACACTGTTGGAAGCATTTTTTCCCTTTAGATACAGGCTTTCTGTTACATGTTCAGAAAATCGGAGATATGCCCTTCTTCTTTCTATTCTTCTAATATAACTGCTCCCACAGATACATGTAAATTTGTATATACAGTTGCATTTAACACGAGGAGGGTATCTATCGATTTTCGATTGCACCAAAGAGCAAGTTGTTCGATAGATGGGAACAAGCTTAGCCAGCTGCAGAATAGGCTCTGGCTGCTAGTGACGTCCTCAATCTTCTGTTTACAATTGCTGTAATATTTTCACCTTTATAATCAAGTTGAATGTAGATGGGCTTTTTCTCCACTGTGATTTGTTTGACATTTGAGACTTCAGATCTTCCGTACTTGTTAATGAACCTTTGAGGGTAACCATTAGTTCTCAAAATCTTTTCGAGAAACATAAATTCTTCCTCTAGTTTGTCTGCAGAGCATATTCTTCTCGCTCTATAGTACAGAGTCTTGACCAATGCTCGTTTATAGCTATATAGGAGCAGGCGAATATATATATATATATAACTATTCATTGATGTTTGTGGTTTTCGACTGAAGTATCCTCGACTGTATCATCAACCTTAATTAGTATACGGGGTCTGCGAACTAATGCCTTTTTATCGCCAGGATTAACAACTCGAAGTTATCTGTTTTCTTGACAGTCAGCAGAAGAATCCAGGATGCGCATTTTTCATCCTATACAGAACTTGCCAGCTAGATGTACCTGAATCCCTGGTGGGGTTTTTGCATTCCTTTATATCGATTATTTACAATAAATAATAACGACTGCATTAACTGGTCATGTCTACTTATTTTAAACTTTTTATATTATAATTTAGGCACGTGTACGTGAACTTGAAGCAGAATTCGACGGGGAATCACGTAGATGTAAGGATGCATTAGCACAAGCACGTAAATTTGAACGTCAATATAAAGAATTACAAACACAAGCAGAAGATGATCGTCGTATGGTTTTAGAATTACAAGATTTATTGGATAAAACTCAAATGAAAATGAAAGCATATAAACGTCAATTAGAAGAAATGGTAAATTGATATTTGGATCTTTGTTTTAAAAAGTTTTTTTAGTAAATGACACATATATATATGTCCATACAATTCAAGAGACAATATGGCTGATAATACAATCCAATATAAGCTAAGTAATCAAGTATTGGTTTGTAGGGATTTGATTGATTGGTTACAGGATTTCATCATGAGCTGAAATCGGTTAGAGAACCATTGAAAACCAGCCACAGGGAGTACGCCACAGCTGTTTCATCCTAGTTTTTTTGGAATCATCGGCAGTACGCACCCACTGCAAGGGGTCGAACCAAGGACCCTCCGGTTACAAGGCAAGCAAGCTGGTATACCATTCAGCCACTGGGACCCGATCCCTCAATGTCCACTCCATGAATTCTAACTTCTACCAATTCGTGAGATTTAGCGCGACTGGCACCAACCAATGTCATCAGTGGGACATCCATCCTCACACTTGACTGGATGGACCTCACTGGTCATGACTTCTCACTAGAACTCCAGGAAACTCCGTCCTGTAGCCAGTCAGTCACTAGTGAGCATCCTCACAAACCAACTCTTGTTAGGAGCTGAAGTCAGTTAGGGAAACTTTGAAGACTAAGGTGTCTACTGAACAGGCTAACCTCGTAAACTGTGTTTTTGGATTCAGAAGTTAATGGAATCATGGGTACACGCTACTGAAGAGTCCCAAACCGGGGAAAAACACAACTGTCTAGTATTTCTTGATTCTCAGGGATTCTCCAAGTGATATGAATCCCTTGAAAAGTGTACATTTGAAATTTAATCAAATATTATTCACGATCAGATCAATAATAGCCACAAGATGAATAGCCTAAATTCTGTTGTGAATTCATGCCTAGTGGGATCACCGTTTCATACGGAAGACGATACTAATCAATGCTATTTGTTGTAAATGACAGTGTAATACCACAAACTAACAGGTGCTGGAATTCACCAGTCAATGAATTTCAACACAATAGCTAAATGGTAACCCTGAAGGTCCTTGGTTTGCTCTCATATAGCGTCATGGGTGCATACTGCCGAAGAGTCCTAGAATTCGCGTATATTTGAACTTAAAGTATTATTATAACTTTAAATATGACATTTGTAAAAAATTATATTTGTAATATCTCAGCGATATTGAAATGAGTAATTCCAACGTTTCGTTCGGAAATCTGGTCCGAACTTCTTCAGGGAAATTAATCAAAATTAACATAACAGAGGTTTTATATATAAAAGGCACATCTTTTGTTTTTAAAAACTTTGTCCAATCATGATTCATAAACACAAGTATTAACAAGTATAATAAACAAAATTGTATGAGCTGTGATCAAAATTTGACCTCAGACTTACAAATATTGGTCTACCTTTGTTAAACACTTTAAACAGAGTGTGCATGCGTGTGTGTGTAAACAGTTGTAAAACATTTCTTAACGTCTCCATAGGAAGATATAGACAGTCAGGAATTTGACCAAGTATTTTTAATTAGTGATACATATCCATTTTTATTTATTAATCAGGATTTCCTATGCATCAGCTAACATCAAACCTTCATGTCCGTTCAAACTGCTAGTATCTAGAATTTTATGATTAGAAGTATTTTCAAAATTATGGTGTTTAGGATTAGAGTTTAGTTTAAGCACCCTGTCGAACTTATTGCATTGTCTTCTTTCTGAATATTGAGTTGCTTTATTCGACTTACTGGCGTTGTCAGGTGACTCGACAGCTACGGATTTAGGATGTGCATTTTGTCCAGACAACGGAGACTGAGAACACGATGATTGTGCCAATTACATAGTTTCTTTGTTAATTTAATTCGATAGCAAAATAATTCAAATGAACTGTCGTCAAGATTTACCGATCGGACCAGATTTCCGAACGAAACGTTGGAATTACTCATTTCAATATCGCTGAGATATTACAAATATAATTTTTTACAAATGTCTACTTCTCACTCGGGCCCAAATATTTTAGAACTATTCGTCAAATCTTGACGACAGTTCATCTGAATATTTGCATATATTATTGAAATATTCAATTTCTTTGCATTTCCTCAATATTATAGGAGGAAGTCTCGCAGATTACAATGAATAAATATCGTAAAGCCCAACAACAAATTGAAGAAGCTGAACACAGAGCTGATATGGCAGAGCGTACAGTGACTGTACGTCGAATTGGTCCAGGTGGACGAGCAGTTTCAGTAGCACGTGAGCTGTCAGTCACATCAAATCGCGGTATGCGTGCAACAAGTATGATGTAAAAGCCTTAACACAAACAGACACCCACACACACACATACAAACACACACAAATACACACACACATACCAAAAACAAACCATACGAAAATTAGTATCCATAATCAAAAAACGAAAAAGAAAAATGTTTTCGCTTCTCTGTTTCAAATTTTTATCCTCTCTCTCTTTCTCTCGCTCTATCACACTCCCCTATTTCGTTCTCCCAATTTGCCCCCCCTCCCTTTTACCATCATTCTTTCTGTTTTAATGGTGAAATCTAAATGCATTTAGTCAATTCAAAAATCTAATGCGCTTTACAACATACAAAAATTTCTCTTCTTCGTCACCTTTTCATTCGCCTTTTCTTTCCCCTTTCAAATCTTGGTAATGAAGAATTGGGGAGTGCAAGTAAGCCCGTAAAAGGGGAGGGAATAAAGAATACCAATTACAATTTATTACTACTATTATTATTAGTATTATTATTACTATTACTACTCCTTCAAATTAGCTTTCAGTTACCTAGGCATGATTTTCTCATTCGTTTGTTCCTTTTTTTCTTTCTTTCGTGAAACTGAAGCGCAGTAAAAAATAAAAGGCGGTATTCAGTTTTGCTATTCAACATACCAACATAACCCTGGTATCTTTTATCCCAACACCCTGTCAGCTCCACTGCCGGGCCTCTTTTATTTTTTCTCTCTCTTTCTTAAGTTATACATATTTTTTAAAATTGCCTCCTGTCAACAAATCGTTCAATATACATTCAAACAAATATATATATATATTCACACTGGACTCACCGCTTTGTTTAAATCAACCCACGGAACAACGAAAATGTCAAAAAGTGAACAGCTTAACTATCCTATCTGCTTCCTTTATTCACCTGTTATGCAATTGAGCAAGGAATGAAGGCAAGTCAAACACACGTATTCAAACACACACACACACAAACACACAAGTTGTTTATTCTATTTATCACCAGAATAATCCTCGCAATAATTAGTATGACTACTGTTATTGTTGTTATTATTATTATTATTGCTGTTCCCCCTTTTTTCATTTATTCGTCTCCTGTGTTCCGTCTCTCTGTGTGAGTTAGTGCCAGTCCCCTAGAAAACTGCTCCTCCCTGCCTATTAAACCATACGCCGATATGGATATACACGTATATGCGAGATCCAACGAGATAAAGTTATAAGATAACAGCCAGCATATGAGACAGTCAAAACCTATGCCTTGCTTAGTTTTCAAATGATCATGTTCACGAGCTCTGTCGGTCTGTCTGTCTATCTGTCTGTTTGTCTGCGTCTCTGGTTTTGTGTTTTTCGTGGTTTATTTCGCTCGCTCCACTGTACTATTATTACTATTATTATTATTAATATTATTACTATTGTTATTACCTTACTGTACCAAAGTAATCAAACACTCACACTCACACACACACACTTACACACTTACACAATCTGTTTCTCTTTATCTCTCCTCTGGTCCTAAAAAAATAATCTTGCAATCTTAATTTAATTTAATACAATAAATAGATAATCTTTATTTATTTCTGTGTTCCTTTCGTTTATTATTACACTGACTGAAATCGATTGATGCTGATGATGGGTGGGGTGTTATTGTCGCGGCAGGTTGAAGGTAGTCAGCGCGCAACCTGCTCAAAGTTTAAGCTGTAAAATAGTAACTGATAGCGTTTGTACAGGGTTAGACAGTTATTTACAAGAGTAAATATATATGTGTAAAACTTGGGCACTGTGGTAGTAAGTAATTCCATATTAGTTTGTTTATTAGATGTATCACACACAGTGAGTGAAACAGTATTATTTACTGGATGACGTTTCGAACAAAATTTATTGTTCATAATCATTTCATCAATTATAATCACACGGCTTTGAAACTTGAGTTTTATAGTTTTTCTCCTATTTGTCGTATGGGTAGTAGAATTTTCCAGATATCGAGGACAAGTGATGAATCATTCCTATTACACGTATTTGTAGCTGATTCGATAAACAAAGCTTCTGTTATCAATCTCTCCCTATACCCTGTGACATTAGATTTTAAAACTGTCATCCTATCCAATCCTATTGTGTGGTTGTGTGTAACTGCACTTAGTGCTATAGCTGAACTATTCTCTAGATTTCTTATCTTATTCGGGTCAACCAATCTAGATTTTGCTGCTAGGTTTTTATACTCGACTAGTCTGACTGCCCCTGTTCTACTAGTTTGACCTATGTATTTGACCTGACAATCATTGCAGGGTATTAGATAAACTAAACTGTTTTGTTTTAAAGGCTCTACAGGATCCTTTAACCGACAAAGCTTGTTTCTAATTGAGTTTGTGGGTTTGAATGCCATTTTTATTCAAGGATCCTGTAGAGCCTTTAAAACAAAACAATTTAGTTTATCTAATACCCTGCCGGAATGATTATCAGGTCAAATACATAGGTCAAACTAGTTCGAAACGTCATCCAGTAAATAATACTGTTTCACTGTGTGATATATCTAATAAACAAACTAATATGGAATTATGTACAAGAGTTGTTGACGTGTGACTGGAAGGTTAAAATCTCAGAGTAATTTTAAAGGTAAGGCGTATTCGTACTGATGTGATGTGTTGTACAATTTTTTCCTAATAAATTCCAAACTTCTAGACATTAAAATAAAGATTAGTTGTTTTTAAATGAACACTAGTGCGTTGCGTCCAGTTCTTTGTTTGATGCAGACTGAATTCTATCAGTCAAGTGTGCAGTGTAGCTACCATAGTGGGTGGTTAACCGTTACGATGCACTCTGACTTCTTCTTCCAATCATTTAATAGTAACAGTCCAGAGTGCATCGTCATGGTAAGTCACTTAGCATGGTAGCTGTCAATGGACGTGAACATTGAACGTTTGTTTATTGGAACTGGTAGCCATTGGTGGGCAACTCGAAGGCGCGAATGGTTCGATCGTGTGCAAGTTCGAAGAAGACAGAAGAATACGAATAAAAGTACTTTATAATTTTATTTGTACTAAACATTTGTTTGTAGACTTGTATTAATCTTTACTTTAATTGCCAAACAATATTATAACTTTTTTCAAAGAATACTGGTGTTTTGGAGTTAAAGTCGAGAAGATACATAGTATTTATCGGTTCAGAGCGTCTTCGTTACAATAGGAACTTGAAAGTTTTTATTCATATTCTTCTGTCTTCTTCGAACTTGCACACGATCGCGCCTTCGAGTTGCCCACCAATGGCTACCAGTTCCAATGAACAAACGTTCAATGTTCACGTCCATTGACAGTAGCTATACTGCAAACTTGATTGATAGAACTCAATTTGCACCGAACAAAAGATTCGACGCATAATACTAGCTACTTACTACGGTCCCACAGGAGGTAAATCACGACCGCGAATAGCTCAACGGTAACATCTCTGGCTGCAGCACTTGGTGACATGAAGGGACATAAGTTACTTCAAGGTTGCAGATACGCCGCCTTGCTCTGACTACTGGTGAGTGCCAACTAACAAGAAAACCTAGGTCGATATCTTCCTGCCGATTGCCTCCAACCATCTGATAACAGAGATCAGTAGTAATGTCCAGTAAGTACTCCTTGGTCTTCAGTGATTCTCTAACTGATATCAATCTATGGTCAAACTCTAAGAACTCGAAAACAAACCAACTCTTGAAAATGAATTATTTAATGAAATCATTTCGATTTTCCGTTTTTTTTTATTTCGCCGGATGGAAATGCTTGGTGTCTATTGGCAATATCGACTCCTTGTGTAGACGCTTCACCAATGCCCCGAGGTAAACACGATATAACTTAATTAGTTTTGGCCGAAACAGAGGAATCCAGAACTCGCGTTTCGTTTTATTTGGGACTAGTGTACTAGATGTATGTGTATCCTGATAATTACCTATGTTCTCACTCTACTATTATTGTTATTATTATTGTTCCCTTGGGTTCCTAGTGGAACATAGGGCTTCAACTACACGTCTCCACTTGCTTCTGTCTTCTGCTGTACTTTTCACCTGCATCCATGTTAATCCATACTGTTTCAACTCCTCTTCACACGATCTCCTCCATGTCACCCTTGCACTGACGTCCCACTCGCCGCTTCCCTTTCCCGTTCCACTCGAGCTATGGCCTGACGCGCGATGTCACCCAGTGGCCTCCTCAGCGAGTGTCCAATCCATCTCCACTTTCTCCTGCATATTTGTTGGGCGATTGGTTCTTGTTTTGTTTGTTCCCATAGCTTCTTGTTTGTGATTCTTTCCGGTGGCCATCTGATCTTCAGTATAGAGCGAAGACAGTTGTTGATAAAGGTCTGCAACAGGCTGTTGGAAATATTCTTTGTGACCCGCGGCCAAGTTTCTGATCCGTATAGAAGAACTGACTGACTTGACGTTTGTATTGAAAATCCGAATTTTGTTGTTGATGCAGGCTGAGTGACGAAGATTTCCAGATTGGTTTCAGGTTGATGAATGTGTTTCTCGCCTTCCCGATTCTCGATTTGACATCCTCGTCCGTTCCTCCTGTAGTTGAGACAATGCTCCCTAGATAAGTGAATGAAGTAACCTCTTTCAAATCCCTCCCGTTGATGGTGATTGGCGCTGGATGTTGCTGCTGCTGTTGTTGGTTGGTTGGTTATTTTCATAACCTCCGTCTTGTCTATGTTCACCTGGAGTCCTGTCTTCGCCCCTGCTTCTTCGACCAGTTTGTCGGTTTTCGCTTGTAAGTCTTCGATTTTGTGTGACATCAAACATAAATCATCCACGCGCGAAATCCAGGTCTTCTAGGTTCTTCACGTCGGTCCAGGATATCCCTGTCTTCTCGTTTCCTGCACTGTCTGACGCATAATCCAGTCCACCACAATTAGGAATATCATTGGTGATAATAATATATTTATGCGTTGAAGTTTCTGTAGCAATTTGGTTAAGTTTTGGGGGTGGAGTTGCTAGCACCACGCCCCAACCCTCCCTCTTTATCCGGGCTTGGGACCGGCTAGAAAACTAGCGAGCTAGTAATCTAGGCGAGGTTTCTCACTCTATTACCGTTTATTAATAACATTGCGTTTTCATACAAATTTCACATAAAAAAACACTTTATCGTCTTTCTACTAGTTCCTGTCCATTCTACACAGTCTTATCGATTAGTCATTATCTCACACTTATTACGTCATGCCAACTTCTGCCTCTTTTCTAACTTACAATTAGTCACCCAGTCTAGGTTACACCTTACATCGTTTTCATATAGAGTTTGCAACTATTGACTGTCAACCAGTCATAATGGTTTAAACTAATGTTTGGTAAGTAGGTGATACATACAGTTGACGAATTTACATACAGGTATGGTACACTCGTTCAGTCATTCCTTATCTTCGCTTCACAAAGTGTTCACAAATGTTCACCTCCCAATCTGGAGGTCTTGGGTTCCATCACAGATGTGGCCATAGCGGTCTACTGCTGAAGACTTTAAAGCTGGGACATAATAGACATCCATTACTCTCAAACTTTCATTGCCTCCCTAACTTCTGTTAATTCTTGGTGAAATCTTGCCTGAAAACTTGATTCTCTCAACAAAAATGTTCAAGAGTTGGTTAGTTTGTAGGCATTTAATTTGTTTCAGTTTGCTTGACCACGGATTGATATCAGTTAGAGAACCAATGAAAACCAGACACACGGAGTACTGGATGATAGCCAGTTGTTTCGTCAGCCTAGTTTGGGAATCATCGGAAGTAGGCACCCACTGCCACTGGTCGAACACAGGACCTTCCGGTTACAAGGCAAGCAAGCCACTGGGAACCGAATTGTCAATGGCTAGCCCATGAATTCTTACTTCGGGTCCCAGTGGCTGGATGGTATACGAGCTTGCCTTGTAGCCGGAAGGTCCTGGGTTCGAACACTGGAATGTGGTACTGTCGATGAGCCCCACACAAGGCTGACGAAACAACTGGCTGTCCAGTACTCCCTGTGGCTGGTTTTCAATGCTTCTCTAACTGATATCAATCCGTGGTCAAACTCGTAAAAAACAAAACTAATCCTTACAAACCAACTATAGAAAATACAATTTGAAAATGAAAACAAAAAGAGAAAAAAAACACGATTATTATGAATGAAAAGTGAAATCAAACCTGTTGACTGCCTGCTTGACGTATGACCTAAATCTTTCATCCTTCTAGATAACTAGATAATTCTATAGTTCAATTGTCAATGCTCTCTGTACCAGTGGGAACGGGTAGCGGGTAAATAAACATACACTGAGATATACACAAAATAATTATCAAGGTCACCTCAAGAAATTTCTAATAAAAACAAATAGTCTGTTTTTTCTTTTTAAAAATTTTTGTCGGTATATATAATATAAATTCCTCCTTTTCATGGTGAGATTATCTGATATAACCTTGAGATTGGTGAACGGTTATCAATGTTCAGATTATAAAATTTATGGAGATTTTGGATGAATTACAAAGTGTTAGAATTTCAACAAGAACCAGCATTAGTTAGAGAGATTGCTGAAATCTAAGTTTCACTGAATATCTATTTCGTCCTTTTCTGGAACTCTT